TGTAAAAACAAGGGTATTGGATGGGGGATTAAGATTAAAGGGCCTTCTCAACCTTGACCGTTACGGGGAGGGGGGAGGGGTTCTCGGGATCGGGCTCTACCTTCGGGGCCTCCCATCTACCCCACCCGCCTCCGCCCCCTCCCCCTCCGGCCCAGGCCACGTGTCCGGGGTACTCACTGCAGCGAGCGCCCCCCGCCCCCGGAATGCCGGGTGGGGCCCCTGGCTGGGAATCGGGACTCCAGCTTCCCGGCAAGGCCCGAGAGCCCCAAGCCCATTCTGCCTGCACTCGGGCGCGTGACCCCGGCCGAGCCGCCGCGCCACCCCCTCCCCCGCCGCCCGCCGATTAGTCAGCAGTTGTTCTAGGCCCGGTCCCTTCCCCCAGCCCTCCCGCCGGCCTCCGTGTCCCTCCAAGGCAGACTCTTCAGAGACGGTCCCTAGAGCCAGCGGACGAAACCATTCCGAAGAGCTTAGCCTTGTACGGAGAATCTCTCCGGCTTGATACCAGTACCCGCTCACCGCCGCTCCAGACCCTTCTGTGCTATTTTGGCCCGCACGTCAAGTCCAGCGCCCTTTAGAGAGCATTAGGACAAGAGCTGCGGGCGGGAAGGACGAGAAATCTGTGGTTCTTCCCTCCTTCCCTCACCCCCGTGGCCTGGCCCGATGGTAGCGCCCGAGGTTGCGGGTTTCGCGCCTGCGCAGTGCGGCGCCAAGAGGGAAAGTGAGAGGGAGACGGACGTTGAGAGAACGAGAAGGAAGGAGAGAAAATGGCGTCCACGGGTGAGTGTGGTGGAACCGCGGTCGCGCCGGCTACTGCCGGGACGCCCAAATCTGGGGCCGGTCGTCTCTAGGGGTGGCCGGGACGACTGAATGGAGCTGCCGAGAAGGGTGTGAGGTACCCGCCGCGGCCCGACGAGCTCGAGGGCCCGCGCTCTTCTCCCCTCCCCCCACCGGGAAGGCCGGTTCTGGAACCTTCCGGCGCCCCCGGCGCGCGAGGTGCAAGCGGCGGCGGGAGCGCGCGGGGCCTGCCGCGGTCTCCATTGTGTGGCGGCCGTCGGGCCCCGCGCACCCGGTCGCCCGCCACGTGGGCGGGGCCTGCGGCCTCCCGGGCCCCGCGTGGGGGTTGGGGGGAGGGCTGGGCAAGGCCTCGAGCCCGGCACCCCTAAGCCGGAGGTGTTGGGGGGGGGTCGACGGCTGCTCGAGAAGCCGCAGAAACGCCGCTCCTCTGACTCTCCCCACCCCCTCCCATTTCCAGGGAGGCGGCTCAAGCCGGAGGGCGATTTTGCTTCGCCGAGAACCGGGGGGGGGGGGGGGGCAGCAAATAAAAACGGCCTCGCGGGTTTGTGAGCCGAGGGGTGCCGACCTATGAGCGGGCGCCCCGTAATGGCCTGGTCGGCTGGGGCGTCCGGTGCGGCCGAGCTGCCCTCTCGGCGGGTTCAGCCCCAAACCGAACTTCTGCCCGACAGGGTTTTGGGCGGAATGTGCTTCCCCCTTCAGCGCCCCCCCCCCCATCGGCGCCCCCACCCCCGGGCTTCTTCGTTTTTACTCTTATTAATCCCACCTCCTTTCCTCCCCAAAAAGCAATTAAGTGCTTCCCAGGGCCGTTTTTCAGCAAACGCCGAGGGAGATCCGTTGTATAAAACGACCAACCCGGATCGCGAGGCCAGAAATCCCTACCGAAAGAAAATTCTGGCCTCTTTGACCTAAGAGAAACAAAAGGCCCGAGTTGGCATTTGAATTATGCTTAAGTAGTCGTCTCGCAAGTTTCTTCGCCTAGGTTAAGCCGGCAGGCTTGTTTATTTCGTAGTTTCCTAGAAGAGAGGGAAAGGAGACGCGTGCTGGACTTTGAAAGAAAACCCGGGGCGGGAGCTCGAATGTGATAATCCAGGGTGGTCTTGTATACGGCAGTTGTTTCAGCTTGTAACCTAAACAGCACTTGCAGTTCGCAGCCTGTTGGTGCACTAACCTGCGGTTATTGGTAGGGTGGGGCCTTTTTTGCCTCTGGGGGTGTTCTTAGGCCACCTAACACCGGACCTTAGAAGCAGTGGGAGAAGTCGAGGGAAGAAGACCGGAAAAGCTCTGGGTCCTTCCGAGATTTAATTTGAAACGGGTCAAGAATCCAGCAACTTAAAGACCGTTTAAGTCTTCCCGAGCTGTGTGATCAGTAAACAGGCAGGTAAATGCCGGCGGTTAGTGCCAAGGTTCAGAGTGCCCCTAGAAGTGAGGACTCTGAAATACCACAGTCCAAGACACATCCTGGTGGGAAGTGGTTTCCGAAACGCAGGGCCCTTTCCACCTTCCTCTTCCTTGCAGTGTTTGAATTTGGGAAGGGAGAGTGCTACTCTGCCTTCCCTATTGAAGCGAGGGGAGTCAAAATGTGTATGGTGAAATTTTTGCGTGGCTGGACGTGCCAGTTTCTTGGTTTAATTTGCTCACTGTTTATTGGAAATCTCCATGTACTATATTAGAATTACAGTTGTGTTACACATAGACACACAGTAGTAGGCCAGCTGGAGGAACTTTGGGAAATCACATACTTATCTGGACTTTGGCTTCCTTTCCTTCAAAATGAAGGAGTGAGGCTAGATCTTTTTAAGAGCTTTTTGAGCCCTTAACCTCTTGACATTATAGCAAAGTTTTTGGTTCCCACAAATTGCCCCATACTGACTTTAACTCCTGATGTAGCTTGAAGCTCTAAATCTCTACTGTCGATAATGAGTACTCTAAAGTTTCTAAAAGCCACTACTTTAGGTAATGTTAGATGTATTTTCTCTTCGTGTATATTATGTATAGGAAAGTAGAGTATATGTCCAGTTTAACAAAGAATTACAACGCAAACTCCTCTAAGTCACCACCAAGAAAGAGAACATTGCCAGCACTTTAGAGGCCCCCTGGATTGCAGCCCCTTCTTCTCAACCTGTCCTGTATTTTTAGTGAAAGTCTTCAGCTGCACATTTGGGGGTTAAAAAACAAAGCATGACTGACTGCTAAAAAATCTAACCATTGTGTAAATAACATTTTTGAGCCCATATAATGTTTGTGAGTTGTAGGTAGATAACATAAGTTTTCAGGAAACAAATTTGCTACCTCCTTTAGCCCACCACACCAGTATGGGACTAAATGGGATGGTTTCATACGGATCTGAGATCATTTGTTGTTCTGTATCAGCTTTGCCAGTTTTCTGCTTTACATAACTGTTCTTGTGTAAAAGTCCTCTTGCAAAGTTGAACTTCCATGTCAGCAATTTAGAATCATTTCTCATGAGACACCTCAGCAAAACGTAGGTTGAAATATTTTTTGATGCTTCATTTGTCTGTTTTGTAAATGCCTCATGGAAAAAGTGATTTGCATTTACTTTTTATGTGGTACATAGAAAGCAAGAGTTGTAGTGCTATTGAAAATGCCTTAAGGTTTAACCTTAAAATGCCATTAGATTGTCTTAAATCAATTTGTTCATTATACAAAACCTTTAGGCAGTTGATTTGATAATGATGAATCAGGGTTCTGAGTTAAGGATGTACAGAGGAAGGAAAGTAGTTAAGGTAGAGTGGTAGAAAGGTGAGCCTACTTCAAAAGATGGATTCAGCACAGTGCTCTCAGGCCAGGTAGACTTTGAGGCAGGCTTTGGATAGAGTGGGGGTAGAAACCCCTCCCTGAAGAGCTGAGATGTCCATTGTTGCTTTCAAATGAGGGGCTACTTTCCGATTGGAAAAGAAAGGACCCTTTTGTTCAGCACTAATGGCAGTACTGTCTTCTAGCATAGAATAAGGTATGTATTTCTTGTGGAGAGCAAAGATTGAGTAGAATTTTAAAAAATATTTTTAAAGGGGCGCCTGGGTGGCTCATATGGTTAAGTGTCCGCCTTCGCCTCAGGTCATGATCCCAGGGTCCTGGGGTTGAGCCCCACATGGGGCTCCCTGCTCAGCGGGAAGCCTGCTTCTCCCTCTTCCACTCCCCCCTGCTTGTGTTCCTGCTCTCACTATCTCTCTCTGTCAAATAAATAAAATCTTTAAAAAAAAAATACAAAAAATCCTTAAATTTTAAAATACATGTATGTTTAGTTCAGTAGTGCTGTGAAAAACGTCACCATTTTATTTTCTGTTTGTTTTCACTACTTGTATAGACACCTCAGTGGACTAGTTTTTAGTCCTTTTTTGTGCATGTTTTACATTTCATATGAAAAGGGAAATTACAGGAAAGATTAGAAAGAGAAGAGAGGGGAAGAAAAGTAAAGTTGTGGGCCTTTTTTTTTTTTTTTTAGTTGAAATCATTGTTTTAAAAAGATGTTGTTACCTAAAACCAAATTACTCCCAAAAAGATTACATGCTTTGTTCTCTGCCTTAACTCTGCTGCAATTTATGTTGTGTTTGGCTTTTGACTTACTGTAGAGATGTAGCCCTGATACAGTCAGGAAAGCCTTTAAAATACTGGATTGGGATGACTTTCTTTTTTGCCATTCCATGTCACAGCCCTGCTCTGGAATTATGGTTCGTTTTCAAAATGCTGAAGTGAGGGGGTGATAGAAAAACTAGTTTTGGGGGAGATGTAGCTACTGTTGTAACCAGTCTGATGTTAAACATTGTAATATTGTGGCATGCCTCATTTTTATATGAAGGTAAAACTTCTGTTGGTTCATCTTGTTTTCTGTTAGTCTTAGGATGATGATCATGTATTTGAAATGACAGCCTGCAGTTAAGGGGCCCGGGAGGGAATTGTGGTCATGGGAACCTTTAAAGTATCTGCCAAATCAGCTGATCTTGACCTCATTAGCTGGCACTATATTTCAAACTTTCTGAACTTTAACTGGCTTAGGCTTATTTTTTTGGTTTGGTGTTAAGAGAGAAGAGATACTCATTTGGACCTGTGTTGGCCTGTACTTCCTCTCTATAAACAGTTGAAAGAATTTATCTTCTTCCACCTGAATTTCTCCTCAGGCCCTTTTTTTTTTTTCTTCTCCTTGTCTCTGCTGACTTCACATTATTTTCTCTCCTTGTTTTCTCTAGATTACAGTACCTACAGCCAAGCGGCAGCCCAGCAGGGGTAAGTCAGTCTTTTTATAACAGTCCTTTGGGTGTGATTGATTATAATGTTTTTAGAATACTAAGCCTCCTGGAGTTGTAGAGGATTTTGTAATGGAATCTGAATGTTCTATATTCAGTTCTTGCATTTAATTTCTCTTACAGCTACAGTGCATACACCGCCCAACCCACTCAAGGATATGCACAGACCACCCAGGTAATCTTTAAGATATTTATATGTGGTTACGTCCCCAAACAAAATATTTCTGTCAGCCATTAAAACAATAGCTAGTACGGCTCTTTTTTAAAAATCGGGTAATAGAAAAGTATGACGTGCTTGTATATGTGCTACTGAAGCAAGCACTGATGTGCTTGTAATCATAAAAGTACTCAGGCGTTTTAAACTTGCACAGTGGGAGTGCCATTATAAATGACACCATCCCCAAACTGGGAGTTGCTAGCTCTCCACACCTTTCTAGTATCATCTCTCAAGTTAAGTGCCTTGCTCAGTAATTGGTCCTTCTACATATTGTATTATGTTTAAATTAATTTAATTTTACAGTGCTTCTGCAGGAGAAGGTGTTTTAGGATATTTTGCAAACAAAAAATAGCAGCGCATAGATAGGTCATTTGCCAGTGGTCACATAGTAAATGGCAGGGTCAGCTCTGTATGGCTGCCTAGCTACAGAGCTTCTGAGCCCTTTCCAGTACATGAGTTTGTGTTTAAAAGTCTAGGCCAGCAGATTTTGGAAATTAGGGTCCTAGTGTTCTCAAGACCACTTCGAATTCTGAAATGGTCCATGACTAAAATGGATACTAATAACTCTGCCATTGAAACTTTCTGGGACAGACAGAAGTGTGATGTCTCTGGCAGATCTTACATAACTGGTCATTCAAATCTAGAATGTGATCTTGCTAATAGGTGGAAGAATACCTCATTCCTTACCAGGTTTTAAGTATTACTGATGTCCAAGTTCAAAAGAAAGTTCTTGATATGTTAACCTTCAGGAGACTTGCAGTGTTCTAGTTCGTTTTCTTTGAAGTGGTGCAAATTTTTAAATTTTTATGTCAGGCTGAAAATCTGGTTTTTAGAACTAACAGATTTTAATCCCATTTTCATTTTCCTTCTCTTGGTTCGTTTTGTCTTCCTAACATTTGTTTCCAGTTGCTAAAACGGTGCTACACTAAGTGCTATAGCAATTATACACCTGTTCCATTGTTGCCCGTCCCTTGAGAGTGTCTTGTTAATCTCCTGTATAGTTAACTGGGAGTTTGCCTCATTATCTCAGGAACTTTTTTGTAGTTAGGTTTATAAAAATTTGAGTAGATTAGGTAAGGGAAAGAAGGCATTCATGATGCTGTGATCACTTGTCTGTTTTTTACAATCTTTACTAGAAAGCAGTATTTTTGTCTTTGGTTCTTCCAGTTTTTAGAGCCTTAGAAATAAGTCAGTCTGTTTTTTGGCTAAAATATAAGGTTTATATATGAACTTCTTGCATCCATTTTCTTTGAGCAGGCATATGGGCAGCAAAGTTACGGAACCTATGGACAGCCCACTGATGTCAGCTATACCCAGGCTCAGACCACTGCGACCTATGGGCAGACCGCCTATGCAACTTCTTATGGACAGCCTCCCGCTGGTAAGGCCTGCCTTGGAGAGACTTTTGGGTCATAGCCACTGGGGTGTTTGCTAAGAATCTTGTTACTTACGCTCTCAGGTGTATATTCTGTTCCATACCTTGGCATCTGAGGATCCTTTGTTCTTAGAAGGAGCTATTTTTTTTCTTTTTCTTTTTTTTTTCCTTTCCCTTATATTCTCCTGAAGGATTTCTCATAGAATGTGGGTGGGATAATTTCCTTTTAACTATTCAGTGTATCAAATAATCTTATAACAAAATGGAGAATATATAAAAGATTGTGCTAATGGTAATACTGGGTAAGAGTGAGCCTTCTTAAAGTGAGCTGCTTAAAATCAAACTGATTTTCACATCTGTTTGCTTCATCTGATAGTGTACCCTCTACTTTTTGTTTTGTGCTTTCCACAGTAGAAGGGACCAGTACAGGTTTGACTATCCTGCTCATTCTTGCATGGGAAATGCTTTCCATCTTGTCTAACCTTGTAATGTTGACCCTTTAGGTGTTTTCATCTGTTTAACCCTCAAACTTTCTAACATCACACACAACAAGGTGCTAATGGGAAATTGCTTCAGGTGCCATTCACAGATCCATGTCCTTTTCTTTATGTGATTTTGGGAAAGGTTTTGCTTTATTTTACATTATTTTGTGTCAAGCCTTAATAATAGTTGTTCACCTTCCCAAAGGTATTTCAGATGACTATTCCCCAGCTGATTCCCCCCTATTCCCTGAAGGAAAAATTGCATGAGTAGATTTATTTAGAGGAACAGACTGCCACCCTGCATGTAATGTTTGTCTCTTGGTTGGTTTCCAGTCCAGATACGTTTTATTTTCTGTTTTAAATGTTAATGAATTATTTTAATTCATAGTATGTCTTAAATAACAGCATTCCAGGGAGCTAAAAAATAAACTACTCCGAGAATTAGAATAAATTGTATCCTAATGCTAGGATTGAGTGGAGTATGTGAAAAATTTACAAGGATTTTTATGTTTAATGCTGCTATGTAACATTTTAGAATCCCTACCTTCTCCCCACCCACCCATTCCTGTCTTTATTATTATAAGAGAATATTCAATACAAAAGTCTTAAAAATGTAAAAACTTATTGTGAAACTATTTTCAGTTCCCTAAGTTATATGTAGTTTTATCTCAGAGTCTTTAGTAGGGGAAAAACCTGTATCTGTAATTTATCTCCTTGAGTGACAGTGTCCTGGATTTGATGGGCAATATTTCCTAATCTGTGTAACTAATGGATATCTCAAATAGGATGGGAAATGTTTACACTTTTACTGGTGTTAGCTGCAACTGTAGGAAAAGCTGGAGCTAGAACTATGCAGTTTGGATTTTTAGCACAGAATTTTGAAATTGTGAGACTGAACTTTACGTAGTCAAGCTATTTTCATTTTTATTAATGATTGACATATAATAATTAGTTTTAGGTATACAACCTAATGATTCCATATTTGTATATGTTGTGAAATGATTGCCACAAAAAGTCTAGTTACTACCCATTGGCACACACAGTTAACAGATTTTTTTCTTGTGGGGGGCCTGGGTGGCTCAGTCGGTTAAGCGGCTGCCTTCAGCTCAGGTCATGATCCCAGGGTCCTGGGATCAAGCCCTGCATTGGGCTCTTTGCTCAGCATTGGGCTCCTTGCCCTGCTTCTCCCTCTGCCCCTGCTGCTCTGCCTACTTGTGCTCTTACTCTCTCTGTGTGTCAAATAAATAAATAAAATCTTAAAAAAAAATTTTTTTTTCTTGCAATGAGAACATTCAAGATCTATTCTCTTATCAACTTTAAAATATACAATACGATTTATTAATTATAGTCACCATGCTGTAGGTTACATCCTTGGATGTATTTATTTTTATAATTTATTTAATAAATACTTAACTTTGTAACCAGAAGTTTGTAGCTTTTGACCACCTTCCCTCATTTTTAAGATTTTATTTATTTATTTGACAGAGAATATGCACAAGCAGGGGGAGTGGCAGGCGGAGATAGAGGGAGAAGCAGGCTCCCTGCTGAGCAGGAAACTGATGGGGAGCTGGATCCCAGGACCCTGGGATCATGACCTGAGCCAAAGGCAGACATTTAATTGACTGAGTCACCCAGGCGCCCCAACCTTCCCTCATTTTTAAAAATAAGTATCACTTGAAAATAAATAATACAGCTTAGATTAATTAAGCCTTTGGCATCTCGACCATTTTATAGGGATATGAAAAAGTCATTTATAGGAAACACGGGTCTTCTAGGTTCTCTAGAGTCCTGTGTTCTCATTGTCATTAATTGAACAAGTCCCACCATGAAGACAAAAAGGTAGGACATTCTGATACAGAAACCAGTGGCTTTGATGAGCAAGAAACTGCACTTACTAAGGACTGTTTTATGGATTTTATAGTTTATGGGGAACCATGCATACCTCCTCTAATGCTCCCATCAACCTTTGGAGTGTAGAGACTGGAATTAAACCTGGTGGGCAAACTGAGGCTGAACCAGACTAAGTTAGGACCCTCACAGGTAGTAAGTGGCTCCAAGCACACTTTTTTCCTTACTTCATGCTGTCTTTCCACATAAAAGTCACTGGGTAATTACTGAAAGGAATGTAGGGAAAAAACCCTTTTCTCTCAATAGAATTTCTTTTAATTAAGCTTTAAGAGAAAGTGGCCATATAAATCTCGTTTCATTAATTAGAATAGAAACTTTAGTTTTTACTGTTCAAGTTGAACAAAAATTTTTGTTGATTTGTGTAATGTTTATTACCTTTTTCCTTAAAGTCATCAGCACAAAGTAGATGTGTTGTCTTTTGCCGTTGATCTTTTTTATTGTCATTAAATCATTTTGCTCTGTTAATTTTTGCTCATTTGCCTGGCTGTTTGTATGGGTACTAGAGATTAATTAAAAGATTATTAATTAACCCAGTGTCTATTACCGTAATCTTTAGCACTTCAAGCCTCTAACAGCTACTGCGTAGTTTTATAATATTCAGTTATTGCTCTGATCAGTCTTTGTTGTTGCTGTTGCTTTTAATTGCCCTTGTGACTCTTATAGATGGTCTTGTCATCATGTAGGGGGGAAAAATCTGTGTGGGAGTAATAGGGTAGGTGGAATTAGATTCCAGTTAAATTTAAATAAATGAGTGCTTTATATGGGTGACATTAGGACTCTGCAAGGAACTTTTAAATTAAATAAACAGATGAGTGACATGCCAACTCAGAAAACTTCCATTGCTTGGGGCTCTCTGTTTTGTGCATTATGCTTTCATACACATTTAAACCTAGCAGTTTTGAGAAGGAAATTACTGTCTTTGTGTATAATTAATTTCAGAATTTCCCTCAAATGTTCGGAATGGAGAAAAAAAGTATTACACTCTGTGCTACAGGAGGTGACACTTTAGGTTGTACAAAGAGAAGTTGGTATTTGTTGTTGGCTAGTAAGTTGTGCGTATAGTGAGGACACTTTATTCTAACTGAAGTTACGGCCCTAAATTTTAACTAAAGCGATCTTAATTCAAGATTTGTCTTAAGTACTCAAACTCTTTTACTTTAGTGAGATGTGGACTATTTTTTGATGGATATAAATGCTGATAACTAGACCCAAGTTTTTATTGCCTGGCTGGCTTGTGTTCATTGACCATGAGAAGGGGTCAGAGAGAAGAGCCCAGCACCAGGAAAGGTTCTAACACATCTCAGAATAAGGACTCAAGTTAGGAGCTGCATTTTGTCACACTGCAAGCCCAAGTTCCAGATGAAAGGGTTTCCATCCCTGCCTGGTCTGGTAGAGGCAGGAACTAGGGAGAGAACCTACCTTGGTTTGCCTCATACCTCTGAACACAGCAGGACTTTGTGATACCTAGTTAGGGGACTAGCATGGGGCTAGCTCTAGGGTCTACTTTGAATATTTCCAAACAGGAAAAAGACCTTTTTGCTGGTGGTAGGTAAAAAAGGAATGGAGGGTGGGTAATTTGATGACAAGCGTAGACTCTTAGATGGTTTCAACATGTGAAAAACACTGACCTTTAAAAAAAAAAAAAAAAAACTGACCTTTTAAAGGTTTATTTGGGGAGTATTAAGTTTAATTAAAATCATTTACTTGAAAGGTCAAATAAGATAACGTTTGTTGGTTATATTTAAGCAAATGTAATTTGTAGTATGTTATTACTCAAGTTCCATTTCAAAATTTAGTGCTGGTAACAAGCATCTTTTTAGTTGTTACCTGAAACAAAAGTAGCAGTTCTTGGACATCTCCCACTGAAAATTAAACACATGTTTTCTGGGATTTCAGTTTCCTTTAACTAAAAATGAACTGCCCATGCTGGAATGCTCAGGACTGAAAGCAAAGTAATTTTAATGCTAAAAATACTACCTGGATCATTATTTTTAGCTATTTTAGCAATGTGTCATTGCCTTTTCCCTTTCTGGGACGTTTTATCCTGCTTGAGAGTTTTTTGGGATACTTAACTAGTTGAGGAAATTGTTAAGAAGGCCTGCTTGCAAGACCGGTATAGGATCCCCAAAAGCAGACTTTTCTCCTGTTTAATCCAGAGGGGAAGGTGCAGCAGGAACCTTGTTTTCTGTACCAACACTTCTGTAGCATACCCTGTTTCCTCCTGTTAGGTGTGATTTTAGAGCTAAAGAGAGTGCCATGCTGAAAACTGGGTACTTTTCAGACAATGCAGGCTTTAAATACTGGTTTGTTGCTACTCATACTGGAGGGGAACCTTTTAAAGGGGCTAAATATTGTGATGCTCTAAAGTAGGTGGCTTACAAATTGTTTTGTTAGCAAGTGTCTAGGCAGCTCTCTGAGGAGCCAGAAATCTGATGTCGTTCTCCTTTGTTCTAGGTTATACTACTCCAACTGCCCCCCAGGCATACAGTCAGCCTGTCCAGGGGTACGGCACTGGTGCTTACGATACCACCACTGCTACGGTTACGACCACCCAGGCCTCCTATGCAGCTCAGTCTGCTTATGGCACTCAGCCTGCTTACCCAGCCTATGGGCAGCAGCCGGCAGCCACCGCACCTGCAAGGTAAGGCCACACTCCCCTAGTTCTTACACCAGAGCACATCAGCCTGTTTCGGGAAAGAGAGCAATTACACGCACTTAGAGAATCCAGGACTTCATTCCTTTTTAATGGTTACTCTTAAATACTTACTTTCAGAGGTTGGCTATGTGCTTATAGTCATCACAGTAATGCTCTAGAACACACCACAGATACATTGTTCTCCATTTAGTAGAGAAATTGTGCCATCCAGGGGCTAAGATCAGGAAAGTCACTGGCCAGATATCTAGTTTCTAGACATTCAGTTTCAAAAGGGTGACCTTTTAGGGTAGGAGGAGACTATTACATTTACTTTACCAAACTCAGGGAAAAAAATGGAATGTGTGTTTTCCTTCACAACAGAACAACTGATTGGTTTTATTGACCTTGTAAATGGATAACAGCTTTCTCTTTGGGGAAAACGTGGCAGTTCACAATACAGAGGAGGTGGGAAGTCATATACTGGTGTCTCAGTTGAAGGAATTGACATTTTTTCTGTATTACGTAGTGGCTTGGTTATCTAAATATCACAGGCAAGTATATATTCTTAACTGGGTACCCTGCTTTGGGGTGAATATTTTGGCAAACAATTTCATACTCCATGACTAATTAGCAGGTAAACAGTATTGATTATTACTTAACAGAAGATTTCAGGTCTTTGCTTTAGGCAATGCACATAGGTGGCTTCTGCATACAATCTTGAAGGAACATTGAATTCTGATTTGAAAGAAGACTTTTTAGGGAATAAACAAGAGATCAACTTGTAACCTAGACTTTTTGCCTACTATAGAGGTAAGAACTTAGCTCTGGCAAACACTCATGAAATTACTTCTAAAGTGCACAGTGAGTAATCAGAGCTACTTGGTAGTTTACATCTACTAGACATCCTGTGCAGTAGGTAGATTAAACTGACTCACTGATTCCTCTAGGGCTCCGTTTCAGGTGACCTAGGCATTTCAGAATGTTCTCAACTATTGGAAGTCCCATTTGATGATCCATTGCAACAGTATATCCAAGCCATAGATTGGGGGGGGAGGGTTATATATTAATTGGTTTTTTATAATTTTTTGTTGTTGTTCCTTTTCTTTCCCTGATTTTTAGTCCTTACCACTTTAAAACTGTCTCATGATCAGTGTCAGCTACTCCCTTTTCCACTGGAAAGAGGGGGCTTGTGACCCATTTCAGCTCTGGAGAAACCAGTACTTCCACATCCTATCTGGTTTGCCTGCTCATTCTTGGCGGTTTGCTTAAAATAGCTCACTTTATTACAGTCTTGTTGCGAACTCTTAGGGCTAAGAGGTAATAGAAAACCCTGGGGGTTTTTGTTTTGTTTTTTCCTTTGAGACTGGGATTGGTTTTCATTATTTAATATTTCCCAGTTCATCCAAGCATTCCTGGGAGCTGGGGTTGGGAGGGGGTGGTTCCCTCCCCTACTCTGGTATTTCCATTATGGAGACTTTCAGGCAAGGTTGGATTTATATGTGGCAGTCCAAATTAGGAAATGTATTTTCAGGTCTGTTTTAATGAGAAATTTAAACTCACAGTAATCCAAATTTATAAATGCCATGAACTTATATAAATGTTACTCTAACGTGACACTTTTGCATTATTGTTAAGGTTTCTTATCTGTCTTCCAACAGTCCTTTTTGGGGGGGGGGGAAAAAGCATTTTCTTCCCTAACAAACAACCTCCCCTCCCAGATCACTTAAATTGGCAATAGAAAATACTGTAACTGCCTTTGATAGCTGCTAATGTGGAACGAGTGGAACATGTTGGTATCTCATCTGTGGATGTGATTAATTCTCCCCCTTTCTTAGAAGTGTTCTCTTTCAGCAAATACAGTTGGACCGAGACTGGGTTTGATATAATTCAGTTGACAATTGTATTTACTTCCAAGCTCAATCCTAACATTGCACGTTGCTCAGAGGTTATAGAGGTCTTACCCAGGAGTTCTATGGTTGAGGGAAAAAGTCTTACTTTTTTATTTCTCCTTTTAGACCGCAGGATGGTAACAAACCCGCTGAGACTAGTCAACCTCAATCTAGCACAGGGGGTTACAACCAGCCCAGCCTAGGATATGGACAGAGTAACTACAGTTATCCCCAGGTACCTGGGAGCTACCCCATGCAGCCAGTCACAGCACCACCATCTTATCCTCCTACCAGGTCAGTATCTTTGTTCTCATGGCCAGTGAGCTAGTAGAATAACAGTTTTTTTTTTCAGGCTGTTGACCAGCTTGCTTCTTCCTCAGGTGAAACAGGTTATCTGACTTTCCCAGTGATGAGCCTTGACCACACATTAAAACTTCAGTCTTAGGTTCCTGTAGCAGTACCTGGCAGTCAGTAACTTTTTTCTCTAAACACAAACAACATTTTTACCATTCTAGGTTCTTCCTTTTAATTTTGCTCTTTTAGTTAATTCAGATGGATGAGAAACAGAAGTATATGAAAGCAGGTAAACCCAATCATAGAAGCCACCTCCTCCAATGCAGTTAGGATGGGTAAAGTGGAAGACATGAAAAAGAAAAGAAAGAAAGAAACTTCATTTTAATCATTTCATATTTAACTTAACTTGGAGGTCCATTCATACACAACTCTTTCAAAATTTTATTTATTTATTTGACAGAGAGCACAAGCAGGGGAGAGGGAGAGACAGGCTCCCTGCTAAGCAGGGAGCCCAATGCAGGGCTCGATCCCAGGACCCTGGGATCATGATCTCAGCCAAAGGCAGATGCTTAACCAACTGAGCCACCCAGGTGCCCCCATGCACAGGTCTTTTAATGATTGGGCCAGGGCCTTTCATCTACAGATTTATTCTGCACTCTGTCTTACATGTTAACCACCCCAGCAGCTACGGTGTCTCATTTGGGTTTCTTGTAAAGTGGAGGAAGAACTGCAAGTTTTCGGGCGCCTGGGTGGCTCAGTTGGTTAAGCGACTGCCTTCGGCTCAGGTCATGATCCTGGAGTCCCGGGATCGAGTCCCGCATCGGGCTCCCTGCTCGGCAGGGAGTCTGCTTCTCCCTCTGACCCTCCTCCCTCTCATGCTCTCATTCTCTCTGTCTCAAATAAATAAATAAAATCTTTAAAAAAAAAAAAAAAAAAGAACTGCAAGTTTTCTCACTCATACTTAATTAGAAGCAAGTTTTCAAATGAACTGTCTGAATTGTGTCCTAAAGTGTTAACTTAGTTTTGCTAGAGGTAGCACTTCCCTTTTTTGCACTCAGTTTCATTGGTTTTCGCATGAAAGTGCCCCAGGTGTGAACAGGTTTGGGAACAAAATACAGTTGGCCGGGTACGTGTACAGTGTGGAGTAGCAGTGGGCAGGGCTTACAGCAGTTCTTCCACAGAGCCCGCCTGTGCTGCTGAGGGTAGTAGCCCTGGCCAGTTGAGTAGGTACACTCTGTGAAGAGAGGCTCCTGAGTCTGTACAGCCACGTTGGGGAATATGAGAGAGGCTTAGTTTAGTAGTACTTTTAAATATGATGTCTTTTTTAATTTTCATTACCATAGTTCATTTAAAGTTTAATAGCAGTTCTTTTAATTAAGCTTTATTTCTATGTAAGAAAGGTATCATTGGTTAGTTTCTCTGCCTGGGGTTGACATGTCGAAAGATGAAGATCCACTGAATACTCTAGTACGGTGCCATGATTCTGAAGTTACCTTATCCATCTTTTCTTCATTAAGATTTCATAGATGATCAGGCATGTCTGAAAGTTACAGATGATCAAGCATGTCTGGAAGTTTGAAACTGTATACAGTATATAGCGAAACAATTTGAAACTTGAACAGACGTCAAGAGAAAATTGCCATGTTTGTGTGGCCACACACACACACCGGGCAGCCTTGTACCTTCAGAACAGTCACTGTCATGATTGACGGGAATTGTTGGGAGACAGGCTTAGAACTGCCATGCTTAACTGCCTCCTTTTCCTCCGTGGCTTTCCCACTGAGTACACATGCACATATTCTTCCCTTAATGCAGGAACACCAAACTCCCAAATTTGCCTTGAATTTAATTGAAAACTATGGTTTTAAGGAGGTGGGAGGTAAAAGAGAAGACTCTAAGGGTTGTATAATGTATAGATTGGTTTTCAGTAGTTTTCCCCTCCTTTGCATTTAAAGCTGTATTCTGAATACAAAAATATTTGCTTATTTTAAATTCAGACTGTTGATATGTAGAAAGTGTGTTTTTAAGGATTTCTATGTCATATGCTATGAATGTCTCTTATATTTAGGGGGCTTGAAGAAATAACAAGCCTCTCCTTCCTAAAAAGCTTTTTTTCTTTCTTTCAGCTACTCCTCTACACAGCCGACTAGTTATGATCAGAGCAGTTACTCTCAGCAGAACACCTATGGGCAGCCGAGCAGCTATGGACAGCAGAGTAGCTATGGTCAACAAAGCAGCTATGGGCAGCAGCCGCCCACTAGTTATCCCCCCCAAACTGGATCCTACAGCCAGGCTCCAAGTCAATATAGCCAACAGAGCAGCAGCTACGGGCAGCAGAGTGAGTTGCTAAGAGAGAAAACCAAATAAGAATGATTATGTTTGGAGTTTCTGAACATGGGGAAATGGTCTTTACCGTTGTTTAGTTTTGGACTCTGGGGCATCTTTAGGACATAACATCCTGGCTAACCACTTGGATGTCCCACTAAAGACATGAGTGCTTTTCTCCAATTTAATTGTTAGTATGCCTTGCCAAAAAGAAAAGAGAGTTTCTAACTGACCAGAGAAAACATTTTAAGACGCCAGCCTTGCTCTCTTTAAGGAGGTTATATACACTGAGTGAAGCTGGCACTCCTGTGGCCTGCCCACCCCAACTCATTAAAAGGACGTGAGCAGATAGCTGTTGGGAGACTAGTGCAATTTTGATAGTCAAGTAAATGCTATATTTTGGTTTGGGGGTTTTTTTTTACATCTATAAAGCAAAAAAAAAAAAGTCCTTCTCATAGAACACTTAGTTTCACATGGAGAAGTAACCAAAAACTCAAAACTGTATTCACAATTTAATTTTTACCTGGATAGTTGTTTTTTAATGAAACTCCATCCATGGGTATGTTTCATTATGGCTATGAGATGAGTAGTGCTTCTTGATGGAGCCCAAGCTTCAGCAACATACTAAAGCCCTAAGAAACCTGCCCCTGGTTTTTGTTTTTGGGTTTTTTTTTTAAGATTTTATTTATTTATTTGACAGAGACACAGCGAGAGAGGGAACACAAGCAGGGGGAGTGGGGGAGGGAGAAGTAGGCTTCCCACTGAGCAGGGAGCCCGATGTGGGGCTCGGTGCCAGGACCCTGGGATCATGACCTGAGCCGAAGGCAGATGCTTAACGACTGAGCCACCCAGGCGCCCCATGGTTTTTGTTTCTTGAGAGTAGTTTAAAGAAGTAGCTTTTGGAGGCATCCTAGGATACAAAACCCTGTAAACTGTTGACCTGAGGGCTTTTTTTCTTATTTGGGTGGTTTATTCTAGGCTAACTGTAAGATTACTTCAGCTTTGATGAACCAGCAGTTTTGGTTAAACTTAAAAGACCCTACTTTTAGAGGTGCTTTGTTAGGTTTAAAGAAGATGGTGCCTTGGTTAGTACCTTGCAATTGAGCATTCTGTGTTTCCAGGAGAAAGTACGACAGGCAATGGTTCAAATGCTGGTCCATGGCTTACAGATGTGACTCTTTCCTCAGGTTCATTCCGACAGGACCACCCCAGTAGCATGGGTGTTTATGGGCAGGAGTCTGGAGGATTTTCCGGACCAGGAGAGAACCGGAGCATGAGTGGCCCTGATAACCGGGGCAGGGGAAGAGGGGGATTTGATCGTGGAGGCATGAGCAGAGGTGGGCGGGGAGGAGGACGCGGTGGAATGGGGTAAGAGCAAACCTTTTCTCCTTTTACCTAATTTTGTTTCATCCATAGGATTTTCAATGGAAAGAAGGGACTGAAAGACATAAGAAATTTATTTCTACATTTCCATGGACAATCTGTTGAGCCCAGGCCATCTTCTAAAACATGGAAATGTCATCTTTGTGGCATAGATTAAGTGGCAGTTCGCTTTTTTCCCTGCCAATCTACTTGGTTGGGTTGGGGAGAACAAAGAATGGTTTTGAAACTAGAGCTTTCAGTTCCCTTCATGGTTTCCAGAGGTCAAAGCCTCTGTGGGTAATAGACTCGGGATGGAACACACACAACCCTTCTAACACCCCTAGGTTTTTTAACTAATTGCCTCTGAATGGTTGTCTTGAAATACCTGGTGTATATATACTGCAGAAAAGGAATGCAGCTGTTTTCCACAATGTTTGTCCCCAACTTCTGTTTGTATTTGGAATTGTTGAACGTAATGATGAAGATCTTGGTCCCCTAACTCCTGAACTATGGCCTGAGGTGCACCTGGTACACAGAAAAGTCTAATAGCTTTTTGCAGAGTAATGTAAATAATTACAGGATCACTCCCTGTTGGAGATTTTGAGAAGTCTAAATCGGTTTGACCATTTTGATTGATGGCACAATCTGGTTTAGAAAACTTTGTTTAGATCAATAGCATAACCCTGCTACCTGTGCCTGCCCCTCCCCTCCCTTCTCCCACCCCTTTTTCCCCTTCTGGTGTCTGTACTTTGATGAAGGTGAGGTATAATGTTGGTGGTTAACATAATCCAGAAGGTTTAGTTCTGTGTGTGTTCTGTCCCTATATAAACTAGTAAAAAAAAAAAAAAAGTTATGCAGAATGTTATACATATTATGTATAAATTGGATTTGGTGCCACTGTTCAAGGAAAAATTGGGTAGGGTTTCTTTTTTTTATATAGAAATGGCCTTCAAAATTAGATAAAAAGTTGATCTTTAATTTTTGTGTTCTCAAATTTGTATCCTTTTGAAAGATAACTGATTGAAAATGCAGTTCTGCATATTCTGCATAACTTAAAAGTCTTTGGTGAAATCTTTATTGGAAGAAAGTTACTTGATAACACACAAAAATTGATGAACAATTTGGTATTAAGTAAAATCAGTCTGATTTGGAGAATGTCATTCCATTATAAAGGTTTCACTTCTTTATGGATGTTTTAAAATAGACGTAGACACTTGAAATTACTATCATCACGTCTCCTCCAATCACCTAGAATTCTTAGTATTTTCCAATTGCAAAACCAATTTCAAGTTCATTCATTTTAATACTCCAGAAGTGATAATTCTACTAATTTTGCTAGACTTTGCTAGTAGAGGGATCCCCTCTTTCTGAAGAAGTCTCCTGGAGCCATAGAAAAAAAAAAGTCATGGCTTTCCCACAGGTTTTTCAACTGACTGTGAGGCAGTCGGTTGGATCCCTTGGGGACAGGACGGGGGCATTCTCCCCTCCCCTCTTTTTCACTCTGGTGTGGTGATGGTTTTCAGTGTCTTCTGCAGGTAAGGCACTCAATGTTGTTAACATGCCCTTTTTCATTGCCTCAGTATTTTGATATTTTCATTGGCTGTTAAACGTGGAAACTTTTTAACATGCTTTGTCGCATTTATATGCTACAGGTTACAAAGTGAGAGCCTTGTATACACTTCAATACTTAAAAAGTACCCGTACTCAGTACTCAGCCGGCAGCATAATGAAAAGTGGGACTAGACACGGTGTCCATATGGAGAGGAAAAATATACATAGAATATTTTTAACAAAATGTATTCATTGTATAAATGGAATCCTTCTGTAACTTTGGTAACTGCATACTTGTTATTTGGTAATGAACCAGAGGAGGTATAATACTCTAGAATTGTATAACATTAAAGTGTAAACTTTTGTGTTTAAAGAGAGAGAACATTTTATGGTGTGTACTTTTAAAAAGGAAACAAAGCTGCATGCAACAGCTTGAAAATTGTATATTCAGGTATTAAAGGTGCAATACTGGTTAGAAAAAGCTCAGGGCCTCCCACTGAGGAGCTGCCTTTATTTAATCTTAAAGGAAAAATTAAAAAGGCCCTTCATATTCCCTCCCCCTGTTTTTACAATATGTAAAGCAGTCATTTTATACTGCTGTCGTCACTGTTCTCAACTGATGTGTCTATAAAGTTGCACCCCCAGTCCGTTGAGCCTTGGTATTTGTTGTAAATTCTCCTTTCACAGCGATTGTTAAATCCATTAGTGCCCTGAATTGTATGGCTTTATGCTGAAGATTGGCTGGATGCGTCCTCTGATGTGTGTTGTAGGCGTTTAGTGTGGTTGTCTCCTGCTTTATTATACTGTGACTTGTTAGGAAGCCTCACTTGGCTCTCTCCCCTAGGAGAGGTTGAGGGTGCACCTTTATGAACATGGAAAGCAGTTGCCCCAGCTTGCTACTCCTCTCTACAACAAGCTCTCCCTGTTTTTCAGCTGATGGGGTGGGTGTTTGGGATCGATTTCCCCCCCCCAATTTGCCAAGTATTGCACTATTAATACCAGCCCCCGAAATGAAAGGAACCAACCACACTGGTGTGTACAATCAGACAAGCAAGGTTGTATATAAAGGAAATTTGAGCAAGCTGCCCTGAAGAAAGGCATAGTGACGAGATGAGAGAGATGCATTGTTTGGAGATGTGTTTAGCCAGTGCCCTTCTCCCCCACGAGCCCCCCCAAGGCTCAGAGCGGTACTGGCTTTTAAAGGGAAAGGCCTTCATTTCTTCGTTTATCCCCCCAGCAGCGCTGGAGAGCGAGGTGGCTTCAATAAGCCTGGTGGTAAGTTTTTGAGTATTACCATGGATAGTGTTTAAAAAAATGCAGTCAGTTTTTAGAAAACTATAATTTTTTATTAGTTTCATAAGCGGTTTAAAAATGATCTATACAAAGAGACTAATGGGTACTGCCGGCATTGTCTTAGGGGTAATAAGGTTAACCTATGGTTACAAAACAAAGGGTAACTTGAAGTATTGAGCAACTGCTTCTGTAATATGGGGGAGAATACGTTTTTTAAATTTGGTTTGTTTGGAGGAAAAATTTTGACTTAAATTTAACACTAATTTGGCACATAAGCATTGAGAGTGTATTTGGTTAATGGTTTAAAAGCAAACCAGCAAAGAAAAAAAAGCAAAACCCTAGCAAATCTTTCACAAATGTTAAAGGGGCACTGCTCCATTTTAGCAGTGCGGGTCATTTTGAATTTAATGACGCCCCATCAAACGGTGGTATAGTAGATAGCTATGTGTGTTTGTAAGGTTTATAGCTTGCAAGACGTGCACTAATAGTGTTTTATGTGATCTTTCCTGGTTGGCAGGACCCATGGACGAAGGACCAGATCTTGATCTAGGTAATTCTGAATTCTTGAATTTTGTATCATGCTTTATAAATGAACAGCACCGAAGTAAGTGCATGCTAGAGCTCAGCAGCCTGGTAGATCAGTGTGACATTCTTGCTTTTAGAAGCAGTTTAGGGCTCCCTTTATCGTGAGCAACTACTCATAATAGCCTTAGACAAAGGAGGCCACAAGTGCCATGGCATTCTTGTTAGTGTGGCTGGTAGTTCTCTTAGCTTTGTAGTAATTACCAGTGAGCAGTAGTGACTAGTGGGTTAATCAGCCCCTGTAGATACAGGATAATAACTCCTTTCTTTTCTCTGTAAGGCCCACCTGTAGATCCAGATGAAGACTCTGACAACAGTGCAATTTATGTGCAAGGCTTAAATGACAATGTGACTCTAGATGATCTGGCAGACTTCTTTAAGCAGTGTGGAGTTGTTAAGGTAAGTAAAAGCATAACCATGTGAGTTGGCAGATCTTCCAAATCAGCAGGCATTTTAAAGAGATGATGATTAGAGTTTCTGAAGATCTGACCTGCTTCTGAAGTTGCCTGACCTTTCTTTCTGGGCATATTGTGGTTTGTTCCTTAAAATACCAAAACAACAAAAAGAAAACCTTTCTTTTTTTTTTGTAGAAAAATGCTAAATATGGTTGGGTATACTTAACAATTCCGTCCTTTATAATTGTCAGCTAATTGTAAGAATACTTACAGGGACACTTTTTTGTGAAATACGGATTACAACATACAGTTTTTAAAATAGTGAACATTAACATTTTTTTCTTTCCCAATTTTATCCCTTCTCCGCACGCCCATCCCGAATTGTACCATTTCTTTTCATGGATGGACACTCAGTAATGGTTTGTTTCCTATAATTTTGGAGAATGTTTATTAAACACTACAATAAGGCAGCGCTATTCTAGGATATACTGGAAACGAACAGATAGGAACCCTTGGAGTTAAACATGGGTTCTTCGTTAGGTGGGGATAACTAAGAGAAACAAGGGTTTTGAGAAGGGGGTTCCAGGGTCCTCAGGTCAGAAACTCAAAAAGTTTGGGAATCCTGTATTTTATTTATAAATAGTCACAAGTTATTCATATATTCTCTAATAGACAGTTGGGTTATTTCTAAGTTTGTGAACGTTCTTACATCTCCTGGGGCACAGTGCCGTAGTGTCTCTGTGTGTGTACAGTTGGTTCTTGTTATTTGCAGTAGTTCTGTAAAGTCTCTGCAAAGACTGAATTAGTGGATTCTGAACCACTGCTTCTCAGGCAAGTGTGTGAACGGATACATACATCTCACATACATTATAATTCTAAATTTTAAAAACAACTCCCTCTGGTAGATCTGTTTTCTCTTACAAAGAGAAAATGAGGTTCTGAAGTGTTTGGTGATTTGCATGAGTGGCATACAGATTCATCCAGCTGGCCCCAGGGACAGAATTTCTTGCACTACACAGTCTCCATCCCCTGGTCATCTCTAAAGAGAGCTGGACTGAGGGGGGGGGGGGCGGGCAGTGTGTCTCATTTGAGCTCGATTGGAACACGTGCATCAGACAACTTAAATTTTTGCCACTCTGTACATGTCCATGAGTAACCACAAAAGTACCACAAGTATTGAATTTGGACTTAAAATTTTTAGTGAGTAGGCAAATTTGCGGATAGTGAATCTATAAGTAATGAGGATCGACTGTACCCAGGTGTAAAATTGCTGGTTCTTAGGTTGTGTGCGTGTTTAACTAATTAGTATGGCTGAGCAACTTAGTGGATGGCACCAGCATTCCTGAGACCACATTCACCACCTCTTCACTGCTACTGGGAATCACCTGAATTTTTAAATTAATGCCAATCTGCTGGAAGAAAATGGAAACGTGGTGGTTTTTTTTGTTAAGATTTTATCTATTTGAGAGAATGAGCACGAGCAGGGGGAGGGGCAGAGGGAGAGGGACAAGCAGACTCCCCACTAAGTGTGGAGCCCTATGCAGGGCTCCATCCCAGGACCCTGAAATCATGACCTGAAGTCAGACGCTTAACCGAGCCACCCAAGGGCCTGGCAAATGTCGTTTTAATATCCTTTTCCCTGTTTGCTAATGATGTTTGGTATTTTTGTTTTGGGTGGTGGTGGTTGCTTTTTTTTTTTTTTTTTTAAGATTTTTATTTATTTGGGGCGCCTGGGTGGCTCAGTCGTTAGGCGTCTGCCTTCGGCTCGGGTCATGATCCCAGGGTCCTGGGATCGAGCCGCACATCGGGCTCCCTGCTCCGCGGGAAGCTTGTTTCTCCCTCTGCCACTCCCCCTGCTTGCGTTCCCTCTCTCGCTGTGTCTCTGTCAAATAAATAAAAATTTTTTTTTTTTTTTTTTTTAAGGTTTTATTTATTTGACAGAGACACAGCGAGAGAGGGAACGCAAGCAGGGGGAGTGGCAGAGGGAGAAGCAGGCTTCCCGCGGAGCAGGGAGCCTGATGTGGGGCTCGATCCCAGGACCCTGGGATCATGACCCGAGCCGAAGGCAGACGCCTAACGACTGAGCCACCCAGGCGCCCCACTTTAATTTTTTTTTTTAAATTTAAATTCAGTTAGCCAACATAGAGTACATCATTAATTTTAGATGTAACGTTAGTTCAGTAATTTATAAGTTGTGTGTAACACCCAGTGCTCATCACACCACCTGTCCTCCTTAATGCCCGTCAGTCATCCTGTTAATAATGTTCTAATTACATGCTGTCTTCTATGAAATGCCTGTTAGTCTTGTACTCAGTCTTCATTGGGTTATCATTTGTTGTTTTACATATAGTTCTTTAAAGAATTTTTTTTTTTAATTTAATTTTACTTTATTTTTGAGAGAGAGCAGGGAGTAGGGGCAGAGGGAGGAGGAGAGAATCCCAAGCAGGAGCCCAATGAGGGGCTTGATCTCACAACCCTGAGATATGACCTGAGCCAAAATCAAGAGTCAGACACTTAACTGACTGAGCCACCAAGGCGCCCCTACATACAGTTCTTTATGTTCTCTGAAGGCTGATCCTTGTCTGATACTGCACATGTATTCTCCCAGTTTCTAACTCCTTTTCTTTTGACGAGTAGAAGAAGCTATTGATGTAATTGAACTTATCGGTCTTGTCCTTACTGGTTTGTGTCTATTTGTAATACAAGACCTTCTGTTCCAGCAACATTTATTGAAGGATCCATCCTTTCCTTGATGATACATACTTAATCTATCACTTAAAATTCCACCCGTACCTGGATATATTTCTTTTTTCTTTTTCTTTTTCTTCTTTTTTTTTGTAAAGATTTTACTTATTTATTTTAGAGACAGAGCACAAGAGGGGGGAGGGTCAGAGGGAGAAGCAGACTCCCTGCTGAGCAGGGAGCCCGATGCGGGACTCGATCCCAGGACCCTGGGATCATGACCTGAGCCGAAGGCAGTCGCTTAACCAACTGAGCCACCCAGGCGCTCTCTTTTTTCTTTTTCAAGATTTTATTTATTTGACAAAACAAGCAGGGGGGAGCAGCAGAGGTAGAGAGAGAAGCAGGCTCTCCACTGAACAGGGAGGCCAGTGCGGGGCTTGATCCCAGGACTCTGGGATCATGACCTGGACTGAAGGCAGATGCTCCACCTAATGAGCCACCCAGGGGCCCCCCCCCTTTTTAAGATTTTATGTATTTATTTGATGGGGCAGGGGGTTGGATCTATTTGTAATGGTCTTGTGTACTTGAGTTACTTTGTATGATTCTGCACTAATAGCACAGCTGTTTTTATGCTAATTCTTGATATCTGTAATAAAGCAAATTCTTCTGTTTTGTTCTTTTTCCTCAGGAATGCTTTGCTATTTACACCTTGTTCTTCTATATACATTTTAGAATTCTACTTACGAAGTTCTTTAAAAACCACAACTGGGTGTTTATGGAATCTATAAGATAGTTTGAGGAGAACTGACATTTTTATAACACTGAGTAGTTTAAGGACGCCTGGGTGGCTCAGTTGGTTAAGCGACTGCCTTCAGCTCAGGTCATGATCCTGGAGTCCTGGGATCGAGTCCCGCATCGGGCTCCCTGCTCAGCAGGGAGTCTGCTTCTCCCTCTGACCCTCCTCCCTCTCAGGCTATCTGTCTCTCATTCTCTCTCTCGCAAATAAATAAAAAATCTTAAAAAAATAAAAAATTAAAAAAAAAAAAAACTGAGTAGTTTTTTCCATGAATATCATATGCGCATTTACTTAGGTCTTTAGTAAAGACCATCTCCTTAAAGGTTTTGCAAGTCTTTATTATTAGTTTTTGTTTTTTGTTTTTAAAGATTTTATCTGGGGCACCTGGGTGGCTCAATCGGTTAAGCGACTGCCTTCGGCTCAGGTCATGATCCTGGAGCCCCATGATTGAGTCCCAAATCGGGCTCCCTGCTCAGTGATGAGTCTGCTTCTCCCTCTGATCGTCCCCCCCCTCTCATGCGCTCTTGCTCACTCTCTCATTCTCAAAGTCTTAAAAAAAAAAAAAAAAAATTTTGTTGGTGGGGAGCACGAGCTGGGAGAAGGGCAGAGGGAGAGGGAGAAGCAAGCAAGCAGGCTTCCCAATGAGCAAGGAGTGCTACGTGAGGCTCGATCCCAGGACCTGGAGGTCATGACCCAAGCCAAAGCAGACGCTTAACTGCCTGAGCCGCCCAGCCCCAGTCTTTATTAGTTTTATTTTTTTAGATTTTTAGTTGTTATTGTGAATGGTCTTTTTCAAATGACATTTGTGGTGGTTACAACTATACAGAAATAGATTTGATTTTGGTAGAGCATAGGAGATGCATAATGAAGGTTTCTCTCTACTTGTGATGTATATAGTATGTTGTTTATTCAGGTATGTGTGGGTTTTTTCCCCTGGTTAAGAAAGTAGCATATAGGGCGCCTGGGTGGCTCAGTCGTTAAGCGTCTGCCTTCGGCTCAGGTCATGATCTCAGGGTCCTGGGATCGAGCCCCACATCGGACTCCCTGCTCGGCGGGAAGCCTGCTTGTCCCTCTCCCACTCCCCCTGCTTGTGTTCCTGCTCTCGCTATGTCTCCCTCTGTCAAATAAATAAATAAAATCTTTAAAAAAAAAAAAAAAAAAAAGGAAGTAGCATATACTGTCAGTTTTGTAAAATGAAATTTTAAAAACACATAGCCCCATCATTCGTACCACTATTTTGCCATATTTCTTTTCAGTCTGTATATGTCCTTTATAAAAACATAAGTATTAGTATGTATATCTTATAAATGTTAGCTTTAAAAAAAAAAAGACGCCCTGTAAATCAATACTCTCAGGTATCACTAGGTGTTATATAAACAACATGTATAAATTAGACTTTGATCATATGCACTTTTAATGCAGAAAACAAATGAAGCCATATTCTTCTTTTTTTAAGATTTTGAGAGAGAGAACAAGTAGAGGGGAGGGGCAGGGGGAGAGGGAGGAGCAGACTCCCTGCTGAGCAGGGAGCCCAATGCGGGGCTCAGTCCCAGGACCCTGAGATCATGACCCGAGCCTAAGGCAGACACTCAACCGACGGAGCCACCCAGGTGCCCCGAAGCCATATTCTATAGTGTGGCTCCTGAATTCAAGCCAGTTGGATCTGGTGTTCAGCTGAAAAGCTATGGTGTGTTCTACCTGTGGAGGAAAAATTGGCTGTGTTAGGCTTAAGGATGCTTCTAGCACACTCACAACCCTGTATACTGTACTTACTGATGTAAGGGTGATTTTCACTTTATGCTAGACTGGCTTGTGTGATGGCATCAAAGCCTGACTGCCTCATAAGAGGCGGCTATTGTCACTGGGAGTCTGTTAGTGTGGGCACAGAAAATGTTGGGGCAGGTGCAAGGACACCAGGAGATGACAACTAGGGAAGCAGTGGGAACCGTACTGTTCACTTACACACTTTGGAACTTTAGGCCTGTTTTGGTTTTCATGACACCTACACCTAAGAGGAAAAAATCACCTAAGTATATATTTGTTGTGCAATTTAGGAAATAAGGCATGCTTAGTTCCACTATTCAGAGATAAACTAACGTCCTACTGAATGTGTCTATGAAAAATTACTACTTTTGGCAATTTAGGGGACTTTTCTGAATTTCACGTGGACTTTTCCCCCAAAAAGCAGTGTTTCTGGTCACAGCCTGACTGTGCTATTTTTTTTTTTTTTTTTTTCCTGACTGTGCTATTTTATGTGCCTAGATGAACAAGAGAACCGGACAACCCATGATCCATATCTACTTGGACAAGGAAACAGGAAAGCCCAAAGGTGATGCTACAGTGTCCTATGAAGACCCACCAACTGCCAAGGCTGCTGTGGAGTGGTTTGATGGTAGGAGCCCCACAGTCAACAGGGGGTGCTCACTGGGGCACATGAAGGGTCTTGTAGCAAATGTTGCCCATGTCAACCTGCTTGCTTATGTATGTAATTCTGTTAGAATATCATTCTCCGAAGTGGTTTTGGGGACAAGGGACAGGTACACGTGGCAGAAAGGAGGAACTTGAGAGCCATAGGAGCGGGAGACTGGAGGAGGAGCACCGGCTGGCTGTTGGGAAGCAGTGTGCCTGGCTCCCTTCTGCCATGGGAGGGCCCCATTGCTGGCCCTGGGTTAGGAGATCCCTTATTTTGAGTCATTATTACAAATCCATCTTGCCTAAAATTGTAAATACTTCTCTAAGCATGGGCAGAAGGTACAGATCACCGCACAAAAATCCAGTATACATTTGAGTTTAAATATATCCATATTTGGCCTTGGCATTGATTCTGGAACTTTCCTGCAGACAAAGTCAACTTGAAAGTGTCAAGGGACAGGTCTGGCTCTCATATCCTGGCCACTCTGTACTGTACTCCTGTCCCTACTGCTCACCCTTTGTGGGGCAAGGGTGCCAGTGCACTCGGCCTTCCCCTGGCTTCCCTCCCTAGGGTGCAGGGGTTTTGACGTATCTTTTGACAATGTTTTGTGGCCTTACTGGTGAAGATCTTCGAGAAGGTTGTGGATGGGGCACATGCTACCATGGGGGTGGTTGAGAGTGACGGTGTGGTGGAGTCGGGGAGCTAGGAGTGGTCTAGCCTTGCCCAGTCCCTCAAAGATGGAAGAGTTGCAAGTTGGGAGTAATTGGTGCTGTTCTCTTGATCCAGGGAAAGATTTTCAAGGGAGCAAACTTAAGGTTTCTCTTGCTCGGAAGAAGCCTCCGATGAACAGCATGCGGGGTGGTATGCCTCCCCGTGAGGGCAGAGGGATGCCGCCGCCACTTCGTGGAGGTATTTACCAGACATCTTTCCTGAGCTGCTTTTGTGTTGCTGTCAATGTTTTTTTACGCTTGTCTTTGAGAAACTTGATTTCTAGAGTGTAGACAAGCCCATTAGAAATAAAAAGGCATGTAAAATCAATACTGAACCACTGAATGCTGACAGTTAAAAGTTTGCAGGACTGAAAGAAGAGAAGAACAGGTTTCTTGGTTAGGGGGGCTGGAGTGCCTGGCTGTCAACCCCGGGCTGCCATTTATTTACTCTGCTTGGGTATCTCTGTCTGCATGAGAATGCCCGTTCTGTACAGGTTGTGGGAGCGAACTAAAGTAATGTGCACAGGAGGCGTGCAGCTGGGTCCTTGAGCCTGCAGAAATGTCTGCGGCAAATGAAGGGACGGTGACAGCTGTGATCTGTATGAATTCCCTTAATGATAGAGATTTCCTCTGCAGCAAATCTAATGCTATACAGAGGTGACTGGCTCTTTCTTATTGCAGGTCCAGGGGGCCCAGGAGGTCCTGGGGGCCCCATGGGTCGTATGGGAGGCCGTGGAGGAGACAGAGGTGGCTTTCCCCCAAGAGGGCCTCGGGGTTCCCGAGGGAACCCATCCGGAGGAGGAAATGTCCAGCACCGAGCTGGAGACTGGCAGTGCCCCAATCCGTATGTACTTCTCTTGACAAATTGAGACCCTACACTAGTGAAGTCACTCTCTGTCCCACCCGTTCCCATTGTGGAGAGGAGGACTGCTGGATTCTTTGTCTTGTCTCGAGGAGTATAATGATGACCCGGATTCATGGGGTGGGTGGGTGGGTGGCCTAATCAGTCCATCTTCAGAGCCTTCTGAAGGAAGTCATGATCCCACTGGATTCCTGGGGTCCACGTGTACATACAGGGTTGTGCATTTTCTGGATCCTCCACCGGTCTTTCGGGGTGCATTGCTGCATGAGGCTGTGGCTCTAAAGCCATTTTCTGTCAGCGGATCCTCTTAATGGTGTTTGACCAGGCTCCAGGGTTTGTGCTGGCGGAATACGGTGTGTGCTTGCTCACGTTTGCTTAACTGCCTTAGCTCGGTTAGCGATTTCTGTTGTGATGTAATTTTATGCAGGGGGTGTGGAAACCAGAACTTCGCCTGGAGAACAGAATGCAACCAGTGTAAGGCCCCGAAGCCCGAAGGCTTCCTTCCACCACCCTTTCCACCCCCGGGTAGGTACAGGTTTTGGGCGCATCCCCTCAGCATCTTGGTTCTAAACCTCTCTTGTTGCCTTGGTGGGCTTGGTAAACAACTGCCGTCCACTGCTCACAGCCAGGTCGGTGTCCCAGGAAGTGTAGTCTTGGCGCTGGAGCTCCTGAGATTCCATCTTCTGTTCTAAAGTGTGCCCCAGAGATGCAGACCGAGTAAAGCGTCTGCTTTGTGTCTGCTCTGGGAGAAGGCAGCAGATCCTGAGCAGCCACTCGTCCTCCCCGTCTTGCTGCTGATCTGTCCTTTTCCTTCAGGTGGTGACCGTGGCAGAGGCGGCCCTGGTGGCATGCGGGGCGGAAGAGGCGGCCTCATGGACCGCGGTGGTCCCGGTGGGATGTTCAGAGGTGGCCGTGGTGGAGACAGAGGGGGCTTCCGTGGTGGCCGGGGCATGGACCGAGGTGGCTTTGGTGGAGGAAGACGGGGCGGCCCTGGTGGGCCCCCTGGACCTTTGATGGAACAGATGGGAGGAAGAAGAGGCGGGCGCGGAGGACCTGGAAAGATGGATAAGTACGTGATGGTGCAGGCTTGGGGCGGGCTCTGGTGGGAAGCTCCCTCTCCTTTGCCCCTTTTCACCCCTCACCCCTTTTGGCCCTGCAGAGGCGAGCACCGTCAGGAACGCAGAGACCGGCCCTACTAGACGCAGAGACCCCGCAGAGCTGCATTGACTACCAGATTTATTTTTTAAACCAGAAAATGTTTTAAATTTATAATTCCATATTTATAATGTTGGCCACAACATTATGATTATTCCTTGTCTGTACTTTAGTATTTTTCACCATTTGTGAAGAAACATTAAAACAAGTTAAATGGTAGTGTGCCGAGTTTTTTTTCCTTCTTTTAAAGATGGTTGTTTAACTAAGACTAAACAATGGGAACCCCTTGTGAGCATGCTCAGTATCATTGTGGAGAACCAAGAGGGCCTCTAACTGTAACAATGTTCATGGTTGTGATGTTTTTTTTTTTTTTTAAATAAAATTCCAAATGTTTATAAACAGTCATCCTTCTCGGCCTCTGTTGCACAGTCGCTGCGAGTCTACTTGGAGTGCACCCTGACCCGCCAGATAGGCGCTCCTTCCAGCATCCTGGGAGGGGAAACCCGAAATGGTCAGGATGGCACCATGTCGGGTGTGGTGCTGCCAGCAAGGAAACGGGGGGTGCATGGTCACCTTCACCCAGAACCCTAGCTCTAGCCACGGGGACATCTGGCCCAGGTCTGGCTGATTTGCAGGGAGGAGCTCCGTGGCAGAGGGCCAGGCACCGTGGCTGCCTGGCTCCCAGGCCATTGTCTTGGTTTAGCGGGCGTTCCAAGTCGGGCTCCACATGCTTCAGAACAAAGGTCTGCATCAGTGACCGCTAATGGGAACCGTTTGATGTGACGTTTTCTTGGTGTTACCAGGTCAGAGTTTGTGAACTTGGTAAATAGAGGCCGCTGTTCAGCTCTCTCTGATTGCCTTGTGTGAGGTCAGAAGCCAGGGCTTTTCCCCAGGAGCGTGTTTCTGAAATTGCGGAGATGAGAAGAATCCCAGACCCTTTACCTCTGGGCCTTTTTGGTCAGTCTGGTCTGGTCTTGGACTTGGTGAAGACTCTTTAGACCCAGGCCAGCAGATTTTAAGTCTTGAGGCCCTCCTGTACATGCGTGATTTCAGGCGTCCAGAGATTGAGGCCCTAAAGTGCCTTCCTGGGAAGAGAGGTTTTCCAGGTAAGCAACTGGATGTAACCCAGTCTGCAAACAGTTGATCACCAGATGCTCAAGGAAGAAATGCAGGCCTAAACGTAACCCAGTCAGCAAAGACCAGCTGGGGCAGGGCTGCACACAAGTCCTGAAGGGGGCTGGGCGCTTCTGGAAATCAGATGTTGGCAGCTAGGACTCCTGGCTCAGAAGCGCAGTTGCTCAGTGTGCTGACTTGAAGCAGTGGAGCGAGTCCTGCGTGACCTAAAGTCGCAGCCGCAGCTTCTCAGCATAACTATATTAGTCCATATTTCCAGAGTCCACAAATTGTATCTTACTCTGGTTTTTCAGAGCTTAAAGAATGGTAAGTGAAACCAGCTAGTGTTTGAAGCTTTAAGGAGAGATTGTCACCTTTGCCAGCGGAAGGCACAAGAAGAATTTGGCATAAATTATTTCCTCTCCATCCCTTGGCCCACGAGAGCAGGCCTTGGGAAACCTCTTAGCCCGGGCGCCCCTCCCTGCTCACAGTGGCCCTGCTGTCCTTAGGGTTTGCACTACTCGCCCGTGCTCTGAGGCAGACAGGGATGGGTCCTGGGCGCACTCGCAGCCCTCCTGGACGTACGTGCGACACCTCTGTGGCTTCATCTTTTGCGTGACGAGTCATTTCTCAAGAATAGGCATTGCTCTCCCACCTCTGGGAAACCCCTCATCAGCCCCTCTAGGTGCCAAGCCATTTTTCTGTTCCCCTAGTGCCCACCCACTCCCTAGAACCGACTTCAGTCTTGCTTCTACTGATAGGGTAGTTCTCAAAGTCCCCAGTGACCACGTTGCCAAATCAGTGGTCCCTCCTCGGCCCTCTGGTGGCTGCTGTCCCCCCCCCACACACACCGACCTCGAAAGGTAGGAAGGCCGCCTCTGAGCCGCACTGCCTGGCTGGCCTCCTCCTGAGTGATGGGCTCACAGAGGGGCTGGAGCCGGCCCCTTCCTCCAGCCCAGCTCAGCAAACCGGGGCGCCTGCCGCCTCTCGCGGAGCCTCACCGTCCTCCTGGCCGCCCTGTTCTCGTGTTGCCCCGGCCCCCGACCCAACCCAGCAGGCTCTCTTCAAAGTACAGTATCTAAGTCACCAGCGCCCCCCACCTCTCGTTCGCCACCCCTCGCCGGGCTCCCCGCTTACCCCGGCCCCTCCAGCCCTTGGCCCCAGACGCCAGAGTGACTTCTTGACACCTTAAGTCACCGCAATTCTTACAACTGGCCAAGGCCTTCCAGCCCACGTGCCATGACCCCCGAGGCCCCTGTGACCTCAGCTGCCCCGCTCAGCCTTGCTGGCTGGAGTCTGGCCACACAGGCCAGTGCTACTCTCCAAGGGGCCCTGGCGGGTGTCGGAAGCATCAGAGCCCGGGTGCACACCCTGAGGCCCGAGTTTAACCACGACATCCCGGGCTCGCGCGGGGTGCCCAGCACCACCTCGCTGCATTCCCTAACCGGGAAGCCGCTGAGGAGGGAGCCTACCCGCGTCTCCCGGATGAGGCGGCGGGCGAGGCCAGAGTCGAGGGCAGCGTCCCTGCAGAGCCTGCGCTCCCCGCACGCGGGTGTCTTGTGTCTGGGAGGCCGGGGCTCTGGCAGCTCGGGGTAGGGCTCAGCCACCGCCCGGCCCGCAGCCCGTGCTAAGGGGTGACAGGCAGCCCTCCGGCGTTCCCTGGCTCCCGCCTGGGGCTTGAGGCTGCCCCAGGAGTGGCTCGTGTCCCTGCCTCGAGAGGGGCTGTCGCCAGCACCGAACAGTCCTGCGAGAGGTGTTTATGTCCTCGGCGCCTAGGCCCGGGGTTTGGTAGTGTTCATGTCGGAGGGCTGACTTCTCTCAGCCGAGGGGAACGTCTGCCCGGCTTCCAAGCTCCGTCTCCAAGGGCTGCGCGAAGCCGGTCAGTGCCCCTGGAGCCGGACGGGGAGGAAAAGCAGGGCTGCGGCCGCCAGGGAAGGCCTGCTTCCGTCCCACAGCCTGCTCCGAACTCTCCAGGAGCTCTTGGTCGGGCACACAGAAACCGTTTCCGTCACGGCCTCGTGGGCCCGCGAGGCCCCGCTCCACAGTCCCGGGCAAAGGCTGAGGCGTCGGTGGGGACAGCGACCGCGGACCACAGCGAGTGGCTCACCTGGCCCGGGGGAAGGAACGTGGGGCTCCAGGCCTGCAGCAGCTGTGGGGCCGAGGACAGGGCCGTGACCGGGGCCAGCAGCCGAGGCAACGGGGAGCCAGGCTCCCGGACACCGGGACCCCAGGGCCAACGGCTGGCTCTCCCGCTCCCCATCCCCCGACACACATACGGAGCTGCCAGGCACAGGGCAAGTGACGGGCAGTGCAGCCGAGGCAGGCGGGAAAGCGGGCCCTCTGGGGCTTTCCGGCTTCGATTTCTCTCCTGGAGGGCACAGGAGGCAGCCCAGGGAAGCGGAGGGTCACTTGTCCCACAGCCGGGGCGGGAGCAAGCAGCTGTCATGCTTGGACCCGCCTTGGAACAGAGGAGCCCGAGGAGCTCCTCCCCCAGGGCTGTGCTCACAGGCTCAGGCTAACCCGCCGGGCTTGGGGTGGACCCGACCAGCCCCTGAGCTGCCCGGCACCAGGGCCGAGTCCCGCCAGTGAGGGCTTTACTTGAAGACTCCGTGGCCATCATCTGAGCTCCACCTGCAACCCAGGCCAAGCACACAGTTCCCCGGCACCCAGCAGTGGAGGCCAGAAATCCGGCCATGTGCCCACTGGCCACGGGCAAGACCAGGTCTGCCTTGGATGCACAGCCTCCCGCACACCCTGCGGGAATGGGTTCAGGACAACCATAGCCCTAACCTCCTGTCCCTCCAGCAGTTTCTGTGACTTCCCTTGGTCCTGCAAGGAACAGCAGAGGTCACCACACAACAGAGGGCGTCAAAGCTGAGGCCCTCCACAGCCTGGGCCAGGAGTCTGGCCATGCCAGTCAGCCCTACCCCTGCTACCTGTCCTATAATCAGACTGTTGGAGTCTGTGCTCTGGAGGGGGCCTCTGCGATGGCACGCCACAGCGCAGGGGATGGGAGATAGGGAGCAGCAAGCCCCCACCCCCGTGTCCCCTCTTCCTCAGAGGAATAGTAGACATCTGTCCCGACTGCTAACGAACGATACCATTTTCACAGCTCTATGATGCAACTGTCCCATTGTACACGTAGTACAACTGAGACTCAGCTTAACCATCTCACCCAACGGTGACCAAGAGCAGGGCCTGGGTTCAATCTGACCTCTCTTATGTCTAGAGCCCTGTCGTTGAGCAAGGTAGATATAAGCAGGAATCAAACTCCTGCACAGCTACTGACCGCACACATCCCTTGCCTTCTCTGGGCCTCAGTGTCCCCACATGGTAAGATGAGAACACATAAAATCATCCTACCTCATAGGATTATTTTGAGAACTAAATTACTTCATCTCCACACCTTGCTCTTCCCCCTGAAACCGGAGTTCCCTTGCCCCATCTCCAGCAGCCCTCTCTCCCAGGTATCAGCTGTCCCAGATCTGGGAGTCATTCTTGACTCTGTCCTCACATTCACACCCATTCACCAGCATATCCCATTAGCTCTCCCCTCAAATACAGCCAGAATCCACCATTCTCCACCATCCCCACTGGTAGCACCTGGTCTCCTCGGGGGTTCCTGCCCTGCCCACCACAGCAACCACAGGGAACCGGTTGAGACCTAAGTCAGGTTACACCCCTCCCCTGCAATAAATCCCTCCATGGCTCACATGTCCCTCCAAAGAGGCATGGCCCACAAAGCCTTACTCGCTCCGCCCCCAATCTCTCTATCCTCATCCCTCCCTCCACCCCAGCCTCACAGGCCTCCTTACTCTTTCTTGAACATACCAACCACATGCCCACCTCAGGGCCTTTGCACTGGCTGTTCCCTCTGCATGAAACACTCTCCTTCTAACCATCCACACGGTTCCTTCCCTTAGCTCCTTTCCTGACCACTGATTTAAAACTGCAGCCTCATCCCACCCCACACTTCCAGGCCACACCCCCTGGCTCCACCGCTCTCTCTTCCCTAGTGCCTCATCCCTGTTTCAGCCCAGGGGCTGCCTCCCGACCGCACTGTGAACCCTTAGAGCTGGCTGTTTCCTTCCCCACATTTTGCTCTTGGTTCCCAGTGCCAGAAGAGACCCAGCACACAGTAGGTGCCACCTAAGTGTCAGGCATTACTATTACTAGTTACCGGCCTTCCTCACTCTTTGTGGGTAGGAGTGCTGAAGGAGAGGGTAGATCAGAACCTGCACCACTTGGGTATCTAGGACACTGGGCTGTGAGCCCATGAGTCATGAGGACTCAGTGAGATGATGCACGTGATCAGGTCTGGCACACAGTAGGTACTCAACAAATGGCCCTGATCCTTGAATGAGGATATTCCCATTATAGCCAGGTTCAAACCCGGACTCCACCAGCTGCTCTCTTGAGCCCCAGTCTGGGCAAAAGAGAGTCCCTCCTAGAGGTGACTTGACTAGTTTAGGTCAAGGGCACAGAGCAGGCCTGGTGCACAGGAGGAGCTTTATGAAAGCTCTGAGACTTGGCTATGGGTGGTGGTGCTTCCCCCCAGGCTGGCCAGGCCTGGCCAGCGAGGCTGCAGCCCAGCCAGGCCTGGCCTCCCCGCCCAGCCAGCAGCAGGGGGCAGGATTTCCCGGTGGTCCCAGCCAGGTCCTTCCTCTGCAGTTTGAAAAGAAACCAGCAGCAATTAACCCTCCGGAGCCAAACCGACCCAGGCCACTTCATTATCCTCCTCTCCCCTTAATTCTGTGCCTGACCTGGGCAGCCAGAGGTGGTCGGGGACGGGCCTCCCCACAAAGGGCAGGGGCCAAGTTGTCAGATCCGCAGGCCTTAGCCACCTGCCTACCCCTCTGAGCCTCAGTGTCCTCATCAGAAAGACGGGTTCTCTTAACCTCAAGGTTAAAGATGAGCATTCAGTGAGGAGTGGCACGCCAGGCGGGCAGAATAGGCCATCCTCCCCCTCCACGAGGCCTGCCCTGCTGGTAGGAAGCTCGCACCCGGAGTCACGCTGGCCTCACTTATCTGACCTAGGAAGGTTCACTCCAGACGGAGGTGACTTTGCAGCCCCGGTCCCTATCGCTTCCTGAGTTCTTCTTGGGAACAGGCCGTGCGGCCCTCCCGAGGAGGCAGCTCTCCGGGGAAGGGGTGTAATTAAAAAGGCCCAAACCTCCCCAGGAGTCCAAGGAGGTTTGGAAGGGACCGCAGAGACCAGCCTGAGCGGGGATGGGGCGTCCGGGCTGGTGGGGTCGCCTGGGGGCCCTGGTCCCGCCCCCACTCCAGTCAGGAGACTCCAGCTCCTCCCTCGGTCCGCCTCGCCAGCCCCGGAACACCTCTGGCCCTTTAAGAGCGCGCGGCCCCGCCCGCCCCCTCGGGCCGGATCCGAATTCCAGGGAGGCGGGGCGGAGACGGCGGGCGGGCGGGTGCGGAGGCCTCAGCCGCGGGACCGGATCGCTGTGGCTCGGGCGGCGCCTCCCTGCGGCGGCCCGGCCCCGCTCGGCCCCGCCGGGGCGATGCTCCCCGAGGCCGCAGGATGAGCGAGGTGAGCGCGGGGACCCCCAGCAACCCCTGCCTGGCGCGCACTCACGGGTACCTGGCAGCTGCGGCCTCCGTTCCCCGGGGCTGTGTGACCTTGGGCGGCCCCCGAACCCTCTCTGGGCCGAAGCCGAGAGGCCAGCGGGGGCTGTTAGAGGCCCTTCCGAGTCCCGGCTCCGCACGCACCCGGTCTGCGGTGCTGGGGAGGCTCCTCGGAGGAGGCGGGGCCTGGCTCCGGCACCCCCGGGGCTGCCCCTGGCTCTTGCGATCCGCAGCGCGGCTCAGGTCGGCCTGGCTCTGCCACGCACTGCTCTGCGACCTTGAGCGAGCCCTTGCCCTCTCTGCTCCTCAGTTTCCTCATCTGTAAAATGGAGATAAAATCACTAACACTCAGCCCTGGGCAGGGGCATTGCGGTTACTGTTACTGCTGTTATGTCGTTGTTATAATGACACAGTCCTTAGGGAAGGGGAGCTGACGGAGTACCCGGGACTTTCGCAGAGGAGGTGGGCCGAGTACCAGCCCTGAGTGATGGCCCTAACCATTCCTGCGGTTGGGACCCGGATTCCTGGACAGGTCCTGCCTGTCCACTGTGAGTCCACGCCTGTGGGCTGCATCTCTAAGGCTCTGCTTTCCACTTACCATGGGGGGCAATAAGGATGCATGTGTGCCTGCCAGGGAGGGAGGATTCAGCCAAGTCCCCCACCACCCCCCAGAGGGAAATAGCAAACATTTACAGATACTAAGTCATTCATACAAATTATCTCATTAGGTCCTGCCAGGAAGGTACTATTATTGTACCCATTTCACAGACGAGGAAACTGAGGTACAGTGAAGTTTCTCACAGCCAGTACACAAAACCAGGCATCTGGCCTGAGATGACTGGCGAGTTGCAGGTGGTCAGCGGCTTAGTCTGTACTGAGTGCTTCCTGGGTCCTCACAGCAGTCCTGTGTCCCTGCCCACCCACAGTGACTCGGCTGGCCCGAGCATGGCGGACCCCGTGGCGGGCATCGCGGGTTCGGCAGCCAAGAGCGTGCGGCCGTTCCGCTCGAGTGAGGCCTACGTGGAGGCCATGAAAGAGGACCTGGCCGAGTGGCTCAACGCCTTGTATGGCCTGGGTCTGCCCAGCGGTGGTGATGGCTTCCTGACGGGGCTGGCCACGGGCACCACCCTGTGCCAACATGCCAATGCTGTCACCAAGGCCGCCCGCGCTTTGGCCACTGCCCGTCCAGCCCGCGGGGTGGCCTTCCAGGCGCACAGTGTGGCGCCTGGCTCTTTCATGGCCCGCGACAACGTGGCCACGTTCATCGGCTGGTGCCGAACAGAGCTGGGCGTGCCTGAAGTGCTCATGTTTGAGACGGAGGACCTGGTGCTGCGAAAGAACGAGAAAAGCGTGGTGCTGTGCCTGCTGGAGGTGGCGCGGCGTGGGGCCCGCCTCGGCCTGCTCGCCCCTCGCCTTGTGCAGTTTGAACAGGAGATCGAGCGGGAGCTACGTGCTGCACCCCCGGCCCCCCATGCCCCCACGGCCGAGGAGGATGCCCCCGAAACTGCCACCCCAGAAGGGGCTCCCGCCCGCGGGCCCCGCATGACACCCAGCGACCTGCGCAACCTCGACGAGCTGGTGAGTCCGCCAATGAGGGCGCGCGCCCATGGCCCTGCCTTACGCCTGCACCGCGTGCCAGGGACGGGACAGCCTGTCCCATGGGGTGGTGCACATGTTGAGCATCAAGTGTACACCTGGCCCCAAGGAGATGGGCACCACCCAGAGAGGGAGAAGTGCTGGGGGAGGGCACATGGCCCCGCTGGGCCAGGGATAAAATCTGAACTGCACTGCATGATCTCCCCGCTTCCTTTAAGGGCTCCCCGTGTACCAGAGAAGTGCTGTATACTCCCTCATCCAGGGGGCCGCATGATTTGACCCCTTCTGTATGTACTCGAGGGCTAGACAGTTGCATCCACATCACAGAGCTTGAGGTTTGAGTGGGTGCCTGTGACCCTTGGCTCTGAGCAAGATGCCGGGCACACAGTAGGCTCTCGGTGAGTGCCGAGGGAAGCTCCCCAGGGCTCTACAGGCCCACGCACTCCCCCCCGCAGCCCTGCGCACATCACCGATCTGGGAAGCCAGGCCCAGACTGCTGCTAGGAGCCAGAAGTCCTCTTAGGAGGACGGGATCAGCTCTACTGTGAGCACAAGAGGTGCCAGACCGTACCCCCAGCTCCCTCCTCCTCTTCTCGGGACCTAGGTATCCCTGCCGCCCCCGCAGCCTGGCCAAGAGTTTCCTTCTTATCAGGAGGTTAGGACTATGATGTGCCTATCCCAGAGGGGGTAGCCGGTTGGCCATGGGCAGAGGCTGCCACCCCACCCCTGTCTTGGGCCAGGGTCACCCGAGGCTCCACCTGCTCATTTCCTCGGGCTCCACTGTGGGCTGGGAGGCGGGCAGGGCCGCCCACATAGCCAGCCTGGCAGCTCCTGGCCTTGGCGGGGGCATGTGGGTAGATGTGGGCGTGTGGCCTGTGTGTGTGTGTGTGTGTGTGTATACACCCACCCTACACGTCTGCGGCACCGATGTGGTGTGGGTCCCCTGCACTCGTGTCCCACGGCCTGCCTCCTCCCAGGACCTGGCCTCCCTGTGGGGCCTCAGCCTCTGTGAAGTAGGTGAAGGGGGAGTGAGGACGGCTTCCAGGACTGCCCCAGGCTCTGGGGCTGGAGGGATGCGCCTCACTGGGGTCCCAAGCCCCCACCTGACCACAGCGCCACCATCCTTTCCTGGTCAGCTCCCTGACCTCTGACAGCCAAAGGGGAAGGGGAGCTGGGGAAAGGTCAAGTGTAGAGCCCGCACCCAAGGCTGGGGCAACGCAATCCGTGCCCCGTTTCCCCGGAAGGACCTGCTTCCTCCTAAGCCTCGAGCTGCTGACATCAGGCCCCAGGAGGAGGGACTGGATCCCTGACCACCAGTCTCTCCTGTCTGACCTCAGGTGAGGGAGATCTTGGGCTACTGCACCTGCCCAGACCAGTTTCCCATGATCAAAGTCTCGGAGGGGAAGTACCGCGTGGGAGACTCCAGTCTCCTCATCTTTGTGCGGGTAAGAGCTCGGGGCGGCCCTGCAGGCCCACGGGGGGCTGCCGGGCCCATCCGACAGGCCGTGACCTGCCCACGCTGGGCTCCCACAGGTGCTGAGAAGCCACGTGATGGTGCGCGTGGGTGGCGGCTGGGACACTCTGGAGCACTATCTGGACAAGCATGACCCGTGCCGCTGCTCGTCCTCGGGTCAGTGCCCATGGCGGGGGCGGGGGGGGCTGGGCGGGCAGAGCACTCGTGTCTGTGGCACCACCCTTCACCTGCCACCTGTTCTCTCACCCCCCGCAGCCCACCGCCCGCCCCAGCCCAGGGCTCGCACCTTCTCCCCACAGAGGGTGTCGCCCACCCCCAGCCCTCGCGCTGGCAGCCCAGCCCCTGGGGGCGAGCGACGGAGCTCCCGGCCAGAAGTGACGCCCATTAGCCTACGCACCTCAAAGGAGGGAACAGAGACCCCCCTCAGGTGAGAGGCAGGACGGCCAAGGGGTGGTGGGGGGTGGTGAGGGGTCCCGAGGGTGGCGGGGGGGTGCGTCCGCCCTGGCCTGGATGACGAAGGAGCCTGTGCTCCAGAGTGACTCACACCCTGGGAAAAGTTCCCGTGGGTGGGGGCAGGCCTGGCTTCCTATCTCCATGGCAACCCAAGCAGCCGAACAACACAGCTGGGGCAGGCCCTGGGGGCTGGGTGGCGGCCAGTCCTACCCGCTTCCCCTGGCCTGCCTAGGAAGCCGGAGGCCTGGGGACGGGGAGCTCGGAGCCTGGCTTCTTCCGCTGCCTTGGGGTGGGGGGTGGCCCCGGCTGCCGGAAGCTGCTGCCGAGTCCCTCACTTCTCTCTGGAAGTCCCCAGGAGGACCGAAGCCCTTGACAGCCCCCACCCCCACCCACCCACCACCACCACAGGTGTCTTCCCCGCCCCCAACCACTTGGCTGCTTGTTCCTTCCTCTCCCGGCCCTTTCTGCATGTCAGTCCTGTCTCTGGATGCCCCATCTCTCTCTCTCTCTCTCTCTCGTTCCCCTGCCCCAGGGCCCGGGACCAGCTGCCCCCCCACCCCCGCTCCCGCCGCTACTCCGGGGACAGCGACTCCTCAGCATCCTCAGCCCAGAGCGGCCCCCTTGGTGTCCGCGGTGAAGACTCAGGCACCGGCCCCCGCAGGGAGCGGCCCAGCCAGCGGCTGACCACAGGCACCCCGGCCTCCCCGAGACGGCCCCCCGCCCCGCGCAGCCAGTCCAGAGACCGACTGGATCGGGGGCGGCCCCGTGGGGCCCCCGGAGGCAGGGCAGCCCAGCTGTCGGCCCCCAGCCCCGCCCGGCGGGCCCGGAGCCAGAGCCGCGACGAGCAGGCCACGCTGCTGGTGCGCAGGGACCGAGACGGGCAGCACTCGTGGGTGCCCCGGGGCAGGGCCAGCAGGGGCTCGGGCAGGAGCAGCCCCCAGACTGCCCGGGCTCGCAGCCCTGCGGCGCCCCGGCCTCTCCAGGTCTCCAGCCCCACCCCAGAGGCGGGCGCCACACCGGCCAGTGCCTTCCGCACCCCGCTACAGCTTGACCCGAAGCAGGAGCAGCAGCTGTTCCGGCGCTTGGAAGAGGAGTTCCTGGCCAATGCCCGAGCCCTTGAGGCCGCTGCTGGCGGGAGCCCCGCAGGACCAGCCTCTGACCCAGCTCGGGCCCCAGACCCCTCAGCTCCTGACTCGGCCTACTGTTCCTCCAGCAGCTCCTCTTCATCCCTCAGCGTCCTGGGTGGCAAGTGTGGCCAACCTGGGGACTCTGGCCGGATGGCCAATGGGCTGCCCGGGCCCCGAGGCCCAGTCCTGTCCAGCTCTTCTGATGAAGGCAGCCCCTGCCCTGGTGTGGGGGGCCCACCAGACGCACCTGGAAGCCCCCCGGCTGGCCTGGAGCTCCCAAGGACCTGGGCACGGGGCCGGATGGACACACAGCCAGACCGAAAACCCTCACGCATCCCCACGCCTCGGGGCCCTCGACGTCCATCTGGATCCACAGAGCCTGGGTCCTGGCATGCCCTGCACTCTGTGAGCCCAAGGGCAGAGCCGGATTCCTGGATGTGATGAAACAGCCCAGTTGCCCCCTCCCCACCCCAGGCCCCACCCCAGGCCCACATTCCTTCTCTTCCTTTTCCTTCGTGGCCTTAACCCCTCTGCATCAGGGAGCCCCCCCACCCCTGTCTCTCGGGTACCAGACCTCATGGGACCAGACCCCTTGGGACCACATGGCACAATGGGACCTCTGTCGTACATTCCGGTTGGGGGATGAGCGTTGCTATTTAATTACTAATATTATTGAATGCCTTAGAGGAGGCCAGTGAGGACCCCTCCTGAGGTCCTGTGGCCCTGCAGAGCCTGACAGTAAAGTATTGTTCCAGCCACTTGTGTCTGCTTCTTGGGATCAGCCTTGGGGCCATCACACCTTTTGGGGAACGCTTATTACATGTTGGGATTCAGGCATTAGGTGCCAGGGAGCAATGCCTGGCAGCTCTGACCTCGAAGCTTGAGACCCTGCGGCCCATCCGAGAAATGGGAGGTGCGCTTGCATTGTTTTCCCCTTTATTACCTCCCGAGAGGTGTGACTTAAGAGTTTGTCCAGTGAAGCCGCAGGAGCAACCTGAGAGCTTCCAATCAGAATAACCAAGTCCAATGGGATTGTAACCCAATGAGGAGGCCCCAGAAAGGACTGCTTGAGCCCAATGTAGCCTGGGGCCTGGCTAGGTCCAATGAGGCTCAAAGAGAGTCCTGTCGCCCAGGAGACTGACTGGGAGGTTTCCTCATCCAATCAGGGAGGAGACTTTGTCCTGTCCAATCCGAGAGAAGTTGGGCAATTTCGTCCAATCCAGGTACCCGGTTGTTCCAATCAAACCACCCTCCCCCCACCATCGGCGTCGTCGTCCAGTTCAGTCACATGAGGCTGCAGCGCGCCGGGTGCAGCGCCCCCTGCAGGCGCAGGGCCGGGTGCGCAGGGCGCGCGCGCACCAAAGCGCAACGCAGCAGCTCGCGGAAAAGACGCAGCACGTGCCAATTGTACTTGGCGGAGCACTCGAGGTAGCCGCAGCGCCAGCCCCTGCGCACCAGGGCGGCCAGAGCGCGCCGAGGCCCGAAGCGCAGCCGCTGCCGGTCCCGCTTGTTGCCTACCACGAGGATGGGAGCCTCGGGTGCGCCCGCCGGCCTGTGGGCCAAATGAGGACGCGGGCTGCCGTGCCGGACACCCCACGGCCCGAGACCCCTCCCCCCCAGTGGGTATATACACTCCTGTGGCCAAAGACCCCCCCCCCAAGGAAATACCAGACCCGAGGGGCCCAAAGACCCCATAGCTGGCAGGCCCGAGACCCGGCCAGGACTGGGGAAGAACCCACCCACTGCCCTTGGGCAAAGGCCCAGCCAGTCTGGCAAAAGCTCCCCTCCTCTGCCCACACACACCTGTGGCCGCGTCCCCACCTGGTCTCCGAGATGCGCTGCCGAAGCGCCTTCACGTAGTCGAAACTGTCCGGGCTGCAGATGTCATAGACGAGCACGAAGGCGTCCGTGTCCTGCAAGCTCCAGTCCTTGGGGTCTGGCCACTCCTGGGGCGGGAGGCCAGAGTTTGCCAGAAGACCCTTTCTCACTCTCTGACTGCCAAACCCTCTGAAGGGTCTTGACGCTAAACCCACAGTTCATCCTCAGGCCCCGGCCGGCCCCACCCCTTGTGCGCCATCTCCCCCCACCAAGCTCCCTAGGCCCTTACGGTCTTCACGGTGGCTAGGGTAAAAATTTCTAACCCGGGCCTGAAGCCCGTCAGCTACCAGCCCTCCTCACTCTCGGCCTCCTCTCGGCCCACCCCCTAGCTTCCTCCTTCCAGCTTTCCAAAGCTCGGCTCGGGGCCCCTTGAGCCCTCCCTCCCTATTTACTACAGCTGCCTCTAAGCCCTGGGCTCCCTATTCCCCAGGCCCTCGGAGACCATGGATTATGGACAGCTGTACACATTCGGGCCTCCCCCGCTAAGCACATGCTGTTCCTTCCACCTGGCAGGCTTCTGCCACTTCTTTTAATCAAAACTTCACTCATCCTTCCAGGGTCAGCCCCAACGTTACCCCTTCCAGGAAGCCCTGCTTAATTCTGCATGCTCTTTCCTCTTCACCTCTCGGAGGCATCCAGCTCCAAGAATTCAAAGTCTGTCCTGGACTTCGCACAAATTGCTAAACGAGTCACAGGAATAAGGGAGCAGAGAATGACCGCCCTAGAAAGTACACCTGTGTCTGGCCCCATCCTCCCCCCACTGAGGCTCTGCCTAAGGCCCCAAACATACAGTGCTCACCCTCAGGGAGACACAACCATGCTTGCCGTGCACTGATCCAGAGCCACCAGCGGAGGCAGGCAAATATACAGGCACTTTAGGCGAGTGAGAAAAAGCCGCTTTTCAAAATCGCAGGGCCTCGGGCCTGATCTTGGGCAGCTCCAGGCCGTCAAGAAGGAGAGAGACACACACAAACCCCCCAGGACACGTTCATCCTTCAATCCATGAACACAGTTGGGCACCCCGGGGCTGTCCAGGCAGACACGCACGTGTGCACCGAGCACCCGTCACACATACACACACGCTGTTACACGCCCCTGCCCGCCCCTCGAGCCGCTACCTCTGGACCCCCGGGGTTCTGACCCGGACGAGCGCCGTCGCCGTCGCGGATGCTCAGGTCGTAGACCGCGCCGTCGAGCAGCACCGCGGGCCGGTAGAGGCGTGGCCCGTCCGTGGGCCGGTGGCGTTCGGGATAGTCACCGAACAGGAACTGGCGGATGATGGCCGTCTTGCCCACGCCCGGGGCGCCCAGCACGGCCACCCGCAGGCTGCCCCCCATGGCCCGCGCGCCCTGCCGCGCCCAGCGCTGGAAAGCCTCATGGGCCAGCGGCGCGCCGTGAGCCCCGCGTGCCCTGCCCGGTGCGCTCTGGCCCCGCGCTCCTCATCGCCGCCCGGAGCACCCTGGGCCGGGAGAGGCCGGGCCAGAGGACTGAGCGGGCGGTGGTCGGAGGGCAGACAGACAGCCGAGCAGGCCGACGGAGGACGCGCGAGCAGCTCCGGCAGGTGCCGAAGCTCGGGAGAGAACAGACCCCGCGCGCCGAGCAGACACCGCCTCCGCCCCGCAGCGCGGCTGGAGGCGCCGCCGGCAGCGCGAGCACCGAGGTCCGACCTTCTGGCCGCGCGGGTCCCGCAGCGGATCGGGGCGCGGGGGCGGCGCTGCCCCTCGGTGCTTCCGTCCCCCCGTCCTTCTGTCGCTCCGGCGCCCTGAGTCGCCGCCCCAGCCAGCGGCGCGAGCGAGCGAGCGAGCGAGCGGAGCTTCCCGGAGGCGGCGATGAGGTAACCGCCGGCCCGCCCCTCCCCACCTCCCCCCTACCCGCCCGGGACGCTCCTCCCGGGAAGGGTCGCGGGAAGGTGACTGGGGCGCAGGGAGCCGGGGGAGGGATCCAGCCCCCTCCGTGTCCCGCGCTCCTCTCACCCGCTCCAAAATAGAAGTCCCTTCCCGCCCACGTCCGCGTCCGCTCCTCCAAACACCTTTCCGGCAAGCTGGCTCCAGACAATCCCAGCCCGCTGGAGCCAGGCCGCCCGGGTCGGATCTACAGCCCCAGCTGTGTGACCTTGGGCGAGTCTCCGCGCTGCGCCGGCTCTCTGCTCCGCAGCCATCAGACGCAGGCACCTTGCTTGAGATCCTACTACGTGCTGGGCCCTTTACTAAGCTGTTGCCTAGTGATCACTCAATCTACAGCCTTATCCTGGTTATCTCCGTTTGAGAGAGGAAAACAGGCCCGGGAGGGGGCTCTCCAAGGTTGGGGGGCAGTGGGCGGCCCCTGACGCACAGCCTGTGGTCTCCTCTGAGGAGCCCTCCCACTTTGGTCCTGCACACAGAGGTGAATGTCCAGCATGAAACAATATATCAGGTGGCCGTCATACAGGTGGGGCTGGACAGAGTGTGCTGAGCCTGGTACACACCGGGTCACAGAAGCTCAGCCCCGAAGCCCTGTCCCAACAAGGCTGAAAGATCCAGAAATTGGTCAGCATCACCTCTGTCACTGCTAAGGCCAAGTTTTCTCCACCTGTAGCCTGTAGCTTCCCTCGAAGCCCAAATTCCCCCTTCCCTGGAGCTAGTGAGAAGCTCCTTCACCATTACAGCTTGGAAAGTCTGGGTTTGTCCAGCCCCCATCCTCTGATTCTGCTTGCCTCCTCCCTGCAGAGGGGGGCTCTCCCGTTTCTCTGACCAGATGCACAGGTACAGACAGCTCTATGTTTCTGCACTGACCAAGGTTTTCACTTGGGTGTCTCTTCAACAAGCATTCCCAGTCTTAAAGCTCACCGGAGAGGCAGGGAGGGAAAGAGAGGGAAAAATCCTACCTTAGGAGAGTAGGTTCTAGAACACATGGGATCCAGGAATTGTAGGAGTGTAGAGTGGGCAGTGGAGGAGAGAGGGGAGCTTAACCCTGAAGTGAGGAGAGGGTGCATCCTCCAGGGAAGCAGGTGATGGCAACAGAAGGTTGTGTACTGGTTGTGTTTTCATCTTCCCATACTGGGTCTGCTTTCACTCTTCTCCTCAGCCACTAGGGAGCTCAGAGCCAGACTTGTGGCTACCTCTGGCAGGTGTTCCAGGTCTTCAAGCCCAGTGAGTGGGGGACTACTGGCTTCATCTTCCTTTCCTGCCATGATTCTTTCCCTTCACCCAACTTCCCTACTCTATAACATTTCAGACTTATGGGTTTTGTGAGCTGCCTCAATTCCTTTGGCGAACAAGGCTGAGCATAAATAAACTAAGCTCCCCTTCCATTTTGGCATTCAGGAGGGTGCGGGGCTGACATCAGGACAGTCTTCCTTAAGGCCCTGGGTGGGACCCGCATCTCTGACTGGAGCACCCTCTCTTCTCGCTCCTTGGGAACAAGACCACCCTTGGGAGCTAGTTCTGCATGTCCTTCCTCCGGAAAACCTTCCTTGCTTCACTTTCTGACAGAGTGCCTTACTGGGCAAGGCTTCTTCAGAACCAGCAAACAGAGCTGTGTGTGGGTGGGTGGGGGGCATCTCTGGGTCCCAGTGTGCTTTCTCAGTGCATGGTTTGCATGGTTTGGGAATGATGGAGGACACTGGACGGGGAATGTCCTAAAGCTCCTAAAAAGCCCTGCAGACCGCACAAGGGTGACCCATTCCCTAGGAAACTCGTGCGCCAGCACCCCTAGCAGCAGTCCCCGTTTAGCAAGGGCCTGTGAGGTCCCACGCCCTGACCCATAGCTGCATGCTCACTGAGGCCCAAGGGTGCAAAGGTTTTCCTGAGATTTCCCAGCAGGAGAGTGGTGGGGCGGGCACTGGAACCCGGACATTGAGCCATCAGGTCTGACTATCTGAGCAGCCCAGGGACCAGAGGGCCTTCAGGAAAAGATCAGTTGAAGCCTGTGACCCCGTGGGAAGGGACTTTGAGGAAGCCCCTTTCATTCGTGGCGACTGAGCCGAGCAGTGATGGGAGTGGGCCGCCCAGGTGCCAGGCTTCCCAAAGACTAGCAAGCCAGAGAACTTGGGCTGGGATGTGAATTTCTAAGTTTCCCTTGGCGGTCCCCTCACTCCTTCCCCAAGGAGAGGCAGCCGGAGTGCTGTCTGTTGCACCACGGCTCCCAGGCTCCTCACATGCTTCCCATTCGGTGCTCCAGAGAGCACTCATCAAGCATCCATACATCTGTTCCTGTGGAGCATAGGACCTGGTGCTGGGCCCATGGTGGCCAGGCTGGTTCCTGCCTGCCCTCTGTGGCTTGTGAAGGAGCCAGGCATGCAGCCAGGCACAGACAGATGGAAAGGCCTGGGGTCTCTGGGGCTGAGGTGACCCAGGGGAGGCACCAGCCTACTGAGGTTGGGGGCTTAGGAAAGGCCTAATGCCACACCTAAGCTGAGCCCTGAAGGGTTAAGCCACAGAAAGTGGGGTGGGCTGGGAGGCTGTTGGGAGGCCCTGGGCAGGGGCAGGGCAGGCACCGGGTGGAGAATCCTGAGCCCACAGCCTCCTGATGCCAGCCTGCTGAGCACCGCCCTTCCCTGCCACCTGTGCCCACACAGCTTCTCCCCAGCTGGCCTGATTCCAGCCCTTTCCTGGGGTCGAGCACCCTGGACTGCATCCAGCTCCCAGGAGCATTTGCTCTGGGCCCCATCCTGACCTTGCATCATGGTCTGTCCTGACCTTTATCACTTGTCCACAAGTCCACTTGTCCCAACAGTGACTCACCCCCTGAGCCCTGGATGGGGGGTACCCCTCTCTCAGATGCTTGGCATATAGTGTGGGTCCTTGGTCATCCTTATAATGCCACCCACTGAGTGTAGTGGGCAGCCTTTTGAAGGCCCTCAGGACACGAGGAGGCAGCACAGAGTGGGGCTGAGTTTGAGGTCTCCTCCCAGGAGTGTGTAATCTGTGCAAATTACTTAAACTCCCTAAGCCTGTTTCCCTCTCCATAATGGGATAACAATGGTCTTGACTTCACACAGTTGTGGGAGGAGATGAGATAAAACGGAGAAAAAAACAAGATAATTTAGTAAGGTGGGAGGGGTAAAAGACTTGTACATATAAAACAATTTCATTTTTATATGCAAATAGCTACTAGTTACAAAACAACGGAGGGACATGTGTGTCTACATGGGTAAGTGTGCACACAAATATTTCCCAGCTCTGTCTGCTGAGAGGTCCTAGAAGTGCTAGCCCAGGAGCCACAAACACACCCAGCACTTAGATCTTGGTTTCTAAGGCCACTCGCCAATGAAAGGCACCATGCTCCTTGGAGAAATGGCTGATGCTAGGGTTGGGGCAGGACAAATACAAGATGAGCCTGGAGCATCTTGTAATGCCAGAAAGCAAGGGAAGCCGCAAAGTAACGGAAGGATGGGCCACATCAAAGGGACGCAGAGGCTACCCGAAAGAGCTCCCAATGGCCAAATTGGAACAATGTATGCAACAAAATAAATAATGCACTTTTGGATTAAATCCAAATTGGAAAATAAATATCCATTAGTCCAGACTGATATAAATGACTGAATTAATAAATAAATATGGGAGAAGAAACCAATTCTTTCCTACAGAAGGATTTCAAGTCATTCTGTAGCTACTCCCTGCCCCCACAATCCTTCCCAAGTGTAGGCTGCACTTAGTGACTTGCTTCTAAAGAACAGACTAGGGGAAGGGGAAGAGAGTAACTCCACAGTGGAGAAAGCTGGAAACACGACCTTGGCCAAGTGATCAGGCTAACGTGACAGTGATAGACCGATGTTGTGTGCCCCTGATCTGATGTAACAAAGAAGGGCAACTCTCTGGTCTTAAACCCACAACCCCGTCTAACCACGAGAAAAACATCAGACAGACCGAAATTGAGGGCTAGTCTACAACATACCCCACCAGTACTCCTTGAAATTGTCAAGGTCAGGAAAAAACAAAGTCTGAGAAACTGTCACAGATTAGAGGAGCCTGAGGAGACATGACAACCACATGGAATGTGGGATCTGGGAACAGAATGAGGACATGAGTGGGTAAACTAGTCAAATCTGAATAAAGTCTGGAGTTTAGTTTACAAATTATATATTACATAACTTATTTTATAAATATATATTATTCTTTTTTTAAAAAAAGATTTTGACAGAGAGTATGAGCAGTGGGAGCAGCAGGTAGAAGGAGAAGCAGGCTCCCCACTGAGCAGGGAGCCTGATGCGGGACTCCATCCTGTGACTCTGGGATCATGACCTGAGCCGAAGGCAGTCGCTTAACCAACTGAACCATCCACGCACCCAAGGACAAACTAGTTTTAAAGTTCAACTGGGACAAAGAGGGTGAATAAGAGGGCACTATAAATATAGAAATATAAAGGTACAATACTTTTTTTAAAAAATGCAGTGGCCAATGAATAGACAAAATTCTCTGCGGCAGAACAGGGTCCACAAAAGCACTCATATACATATGGAAATGTAATACATGTTACAAATGACATTTCAGCTCTGTGGGGAAAAGATGAATTACTCAGTGAATGGTGTGGAGACAACTGGGTAACCATCTGGGAAAAGAGAAAGTTGGATCCCTACCTTGTCCCTAACATAAAGCCCAGATGGAACAGGATTGAAATGCACAAATGAAGATCAGACAAGCACCAGATCAGGCAAGTATAAAAGAGATTAAAGAAAGATAGCATACAAAAACAATTTCGGCATGGTAAAGTAAAAGACTGTAACAAAATGGGGAGAAATAATGACAGATCAATAAGAAGAGGACCAATAATTATACAAATGGGCAAAAAATATGAAATATGAATATGAAGCAGCTCACAGAATGGACATGCAGGGGCACCTGGATGGCTCAGTCAGTTAAGCATCTGACTCTTGATCTCAGCTCAGGTCATGATCTCAGGGTTGTGAGATCAAGCCCTACATCAGGCTCTGCACTCAGTGCAGAGTCTGCTTGAGATTCTCTCTCCCTCTCCCTCTGCCCCCAACCCCCACGCGTGCGCATTCACTCTCACTCTCAAATAAATCAATAAATAAAATCTTTTAAAAAAAGAGAATAGGGGGGTGCCTGGGTGGCTCAGTCGTTAGGCGTCTGCCTTCGGCTCGGGTCACGATTCCAGGGTCCTGGGATTGAGCCCCACATCGGGCTCCCCGCTCAGCGGGAAGCCTGCCTCTCCCTCTCCCACTCCCCCTGCTTGTGTTCCCTCTCTCACTGTGTCTCTCTCTGTCAAATAAATAAATAAAATCTTAAAAAAAAAAAGAGAGAATAGGACATGCAAATGGCTGCAAACACACAAAAGGAGGCACATTGAAAACACAGTAAGCGAGGCGCCTGGGTGGCTGTCATTAAGCGTCT